ATAAAAACGACGAGTGGTTGACAAGGTCAAATGACAAGTGGAACACGTCATCTGAACTCATACAAACCAAACAGTAATAAGAACGAATGGTACACATAAATAGTTGCAATACAAATGGCTTGGTTAAATAAATTAATCGGAAGGGCTTAACCAAATTAAATGTAAGCGAACTCGAATATATGTGGAGGCACTACAAAACAATCATTACAATCATTACAAATATTTTATTATAACTATTAGCTATCAAACGTCACGACAACGCTTCGCTTGTATCAATACACACCGACAATTATGGACACACATTTGATTGGAACAATGTGGAAATACTGTGTAGGGGGAGGACAAAGAACACTAGGGAATTTTTAGAAGCTTGGAACTCAGGTCAATCAGCAATCAACAGACACATCGACATTGACCCAATTTATCAACTAATCAGGAAAATCATAGGTGACAGAGATAAAGAAACAGATCAAAAGGGAGAGGCAATCAAAACAAAGGTGCAAACAACGACAGGTTTAGGGTCTACAGCAACCAATCAAGATCGAGGTTAGCAGAACAAGCTACAGGTCAAATGTGGAGAAATTCGAATGCTTCACTTCTATCAGAAGTTTGTGCTGATGATGTTGTTCAGAAGAACAATGAAAGCTCCACAACCAAAACATCCAGCTCAGAGAACCAAACACCACCACTACAATATGTATATGCGTAGCTACAATCAGTCTACGATATCGCGCAATCACTTTTCATTGTTTCCGAGAGGTAACTAAGCCATACATGACGTGGTAGAACTTCATAGAAGCATCCTATTCTAAGACGAGACAGTTATCTGATCTCTCCTGATTTTCACTGGTGGTCTGATTAAGATCAGCTTGTGATTTAAACCATGAAAATCTACATATTATCTTTCAGTTTTTCTGATCTTAGTTTTACAGGAGAAATCACATTTCAAGGTACATAGATTAATTCTCCACTTAATGATGTGTTGTTTAATCAGCTACTTATTAAACTATTATAAAACTGAAATGATAAAAAGATTAATGTATTATAGTACATTTAAAGCAGATGTACTTTTGTTGCTTAGGTGAATATAGCGTTTCTTTTGTTGAGATTAAGTTTTCAAATAATAATAAAACCATTCATTTGTATAGAAAAAAAATGGTTCTAGTGAAACTTGAAATTATCAAAATAAAAGCAAATACTAAATTTTTATCAGTCAAAACAAAAATCTCACCAAATCAACATGATTTTGTTCAAAGTGAAAGGAATAAATCATAAGAACTAAGTTCGTTTTGTAAGTATGATACCCAGCCTCACTAGTTCTGTTTTTAGATCAGTTTAGGTTGATCAACGGTGTATAACTGTGTGACATATTTCCAGGGGATCATGTGGACGTTTACTTTTGTATAAGATGAAATCTCAGAGATTTTGTTAAGAATTGAAATATCTTTCGACTACTATCTATCAGATAAGGTTTATAATACAGTAGCTTCGACTGGAATACATGAAGTCATGTAAACTGATGAGGCAGATGTGACATGATGAGTCTACTTAATTCAAACAAAATCAAGAGCAATACTACTATTATTGCAGTGAATAATCAGAACACTGATAGTGAATGTTTACAAAAATGATACTCAATGTACTTTTATTACATGATACCTAGCAAACTATTCATCAGTAAATAAACATTTATTACAGCCACTTTTAATGTTCACATCTTCTTAGTGTTAAATTCAAACAAGTAATTCAGTTATCATCAGTTTAGGGTATGACACAGATGATTACTCGACCAAGTTGCAACAGCTTGAATGAGCGTAATAACAGAAAATCAACAGAATAATGAATGTTGGATGGCAAACATCAGGTTCATTGTAGATGTTACTCAACAAGTATGAATACAAGAATCGCAGTTATGAAAGGACGCACAACTGAGGATTTCAAGAATCGGACAGAATAAATTCAACAGCATGTTAGACCATGTTACCAAGTGGTTGTTGTGTAACTTCCGATACAATACAAACCATCAAACCAATATTAGTGTATACTTGCTTCTGTAGTGTACAGATATGAACATAAAAAGTTATGTTCACTTAGTCGATGCTCACCTAGTTTGATATCTAAATTTTGTCACAAATTAACACTTTTACGGGCTCGTGCAAATAATCATTCCTCTAATACCACTGATATACAAATATATATATATATATATATATATATATATATATATATATATATATATATATCATGACATTTTAACAATTCCTAAACAAGTTTAAGATAAAAGTAATACGATATTGTATAAGATTCCAGTCATATGGATTCATAGATTTTCAAATTTTACATAAAAAAGGGGTTATACTAATGAAACAGCACATTAAACTTTGTTTCTATATTTTTTTCTCAATATTTATTGATTTATCTTTGCATTTTTATTGATATGTAGACGATCAGTATTTGTTAAAATGTTCACCGGTTCAAACCAATGATTTCTACATAATATTTGTCGGTTTGGTATATGTTAAGTGAAATAAAAATAAAGGGAAATGATGGCATGTGAACCAGTTCTATTTATTTCAAATTCAATAATTCCAACTTTGACATATAAATACTGTGACAACATTACATGGATAATTTTTTATTCTTTCTTGTTACGACCTGAAATTTCTATACTCATTATAGTTCTTTATCAAATTGAAAGTTTGTTAGATTAGACTAATTTTGATACGCGTTTTATAAATAAGTGAATAACTGTATCAAAAAGATGGAATTTGGTTAGCAGTGAAAACTAGGAAATGGATTTCATCTTATTTAGAATTCGTGAATGATTGTTTTCCGTTTGATAGATTGTTATGTAAGTAGAGCTTTATGAATAAATTTCTCATTGTACAAATCAATGAGTGGGCTAATGATTGATCATTGATTCGTAGAGACATAAACCATTCAGGTGATGCCTACGAGAGTAAACTTTTGATGTAAATGCCTAAATTATGTGAAATCAAACGTAAGATCACTACATAGAATTTTTTCCAATTATAATGCAACCTGCTTAGATACAGAAAAATAAATACTATTAAATTTCATAGCTGATTGGAGATATATTTGTTTAAGAAGACATCGGATAGTCAGAGAGTAATATTCACTTTCTCTCATTCTATCATGTTACTAATAATCAGTCGTTATTAACTACCATTGAGTTATATTGCATAATTATTAATCAACTAATATTACTACCTCCAACTTTTCGTCTTCATATTCGACAGGTGGATAATTATCCCCATACTTCTTGTTCAAGATCTTTTCACAATAGTACTTGTTACTAACCCCTAGTTGAGAACATAACTTCTCTTTGATATTTAAGAGTTCTAAACATTTTATCAGTGGTACCATTTCATGCCGCTTTCTAACAAACAGACTTCTTTTTATACCAGCTACAAACGCAGTAAACGATATCCTCGAAAGTAAAAAACCTTCTTGATTGAATTGTCTACATAAGCATACATTAGAATCTATCTTGTTCGTAAAATGTCATTAAACTCATTATAGACAGGGTATTAAGACTTGTAAACTTTCTTATCATGAGCTGAATGACTGAATACGTAATAAAAACTGACTAAGTGAGAGCGGAATAACAGCCAATTGTTATTAAAACTAGTACCCTTACCCTTAAAATGCTTTTATATGTCTAAATTATGTAAACCTTTGGTCTGACCTAGTTGGTAGACTGTGTTATTTTAGTTCAAATAATTCTCTAACATATTTTATTCATATCTTTAGGATTGCTTTGAGCACATGTGCCTATGTATAACATAATAAAATACTCCCGAATCAGTTAGTCAGAGAAGTTGACTGAAGTCTTGGATACAATTATAGCTTCCTTATAATTAGTTCACAATAGCTCAGACATTTGTAAATCGAATGTAACGAAACGCATAGCGATTTCGTGTACTTTTTAATTGCTCCTGTTCCTGCTTTGTTTGCCGGACATAAATAGGTTTTGATGCACCAAATGCTATAATTTTTTCGGTTAACCGCCATTAGAAAATTATGAAAATAAGACCCATCAAAAATTATAAATAACATGTTACTGTAAATTTGCTATGTGACACCGATTTCAAAACATCTCATTGACACAGGATACCAGACTGATATACTAAAATCTTTTAATAAGAACTAATCAAAAGTCAACTCCTATCCCCCTCAAATTTATTTTAGTCATAACAATTAAAATTCTCAATTTGGATTTATATATTTTAGATATATATATTCTTTACTAGAGATAGTGACATCACTCCCATTTTCTTACATCACCCTTGTAACTCTGCTTTGTATTTTGATTGCGCTGTTTTATTTTGAAATGACTGATCTCAACTGATGTTAATTTTAATTTCCAAAGCTATTTCCTTACATGATCAACGATTTTTTTGTAGTGCTGAGATCTATTTTATTATTATATTTGATATTCTATATTCTCTCACACATTGTATATATTTTCAATAACATTTTTTTTTAATTTCATTAAATTCATTCGAATCCAAACCACACAGTATTGTTGTAAATTTACAACGACCCAATTTCTTTATTAGAAATAATGTTGACTATATGATAATTTTAACTTTACAATATATGATAACTTGTAAGCAACTAAAACGAAACTGGCGAAATAAAAGGAAGTCATATTATTCTGCCCGATTTTTGTTCTTGTTCAATTGAGTAGCACAGTCCATCAATAATGAAACACCTGTCATTTGTTTAAATATTTAGTTTTTAATTATTTCAATTTTCCAATTCATCAAATATTGAAACCAATATTTAAATTTAAACGATTAATAAAACAATTAGGATTTGTTTATTGTCTATACTCATTTCATTTTAAACCAATAAAATCTGCCCTCTTTTCTAATTGTCAAAGAATAAACAGGTCCTTACTTAGAAATTTTATAACAATTTTATTCAAAATGAAACAAACATTGATTGTCTTTATAATAATAGTATGTTATTTCATGAAGAAACATTCTATCTGTACATCACCTAATATGCACTGTTATCCAAATCTTGAGAACGTTAGTGCTGTTCAATGTTTCATTTCTTTAAATGTTACAAAATTCTTTTGTGAAGCAAATGAAAGATGTGCAACATATGGAAAAACAATGAATCGAATTTCTAATCTTGTTGGTCGAAATTATAATTCAGTGATAAAATATTTTCCAAATAAATCATTTTGGACAAGAATTAATCAAATGAATTTTCGACAATTACAGAATTCTACTAAGTATTGGATAGATGGATTTTCTAAACCATATTTAATGAATACATTAGAATCAGATTTACATATGGATGGATCTGAGTATAATGGAAAACATATTGCTTATTATGACCATTTAGATAATACACTGCTACCTACATTATCAAATAGAACTGATGCAATTGATGTAATCTGTGAAGTAGAACAAAATAATAACAATAATACTACTATTCGTGACAATAATAAGAATCATAATCATTTCATACACATAAAACAGTTTCAAAAGTGTTTGAATGTGAGTAATGAAGAGTTATTTTCACCAGGCAAATGTTTCGATGGCTGTTATTCACAAATTACTATGTTAAATGTACAACAGTGTGCTTACAGGTTAGTTTTAAAAAAATGTAGACGTATTCATTCTCATCTATTGAATGATTTTATTTAGAATTTAATAATTAATAGACTAAGAGTTGGATTTTCTAAAAATAACTAGATGCCCTTCATCCACTGAAACAAGTTTTTTTATAAATTAAATTGACAGAAGCATGCTAGTCACTATTGCATCAAATCTTATGATCATGAAACCATTTACTGTTAGTCAGCCTTGCTATCTACTGAAAGCAATGACACAAGGATAACAATTACCAAACATAACTAACTAATTTCTTTATGTTTAAGTGGCAGTTCATTGACGAATTTATATAATGCATCCTTAGAATGTATTCATTTAATTTTAAAAATACAACTATAAACTTGGTAGAAAATAAATAATAATCTCACTGTTGTGACACTATCTCAATTGTAAACGGTATGATAAGTCAGGTGATACTGATGATTTTAATTTTCACTGGTCAGCTTCAGAAATCCGTAATTTATGTCTAAGGTTAAGCAAACTCCAAACCATGACACGTTTAATCAACTAAATATATGATGACAACAAACAGCACATCAAATCGAGAACACATGAAAGTAGAATTGATTGATGAGATGATGTAGATTGTACAGTACATGAAGAACATTGATGTTAGGCATAAAATATGTGGTACATGTGAAAAAAAAACTTCTTTACCTAATTTTTCAGGGAATATTTTGTTTCAAAAAAGTCGAAACAATACATTAAGAAAGCTTTGTGGATGGAGAACTGTTCATGATTCTTCGAGTAGTAACTAGTGACAATAAAGATTAGGTTTCTTATGTATACTTACTGATAATCAAGCAGTGTGAATTTTTATTTCATGAAGATTTAGAAAAAACCTCAAAAACTGTATTCTCAGTCCATAATGCAGAGAATTAGTACAATATTAGAGTGGATATCATCTTTGTTTTCATATAGTCTACGACATGCAGTAGTTATATAGGCAAATTAATTTTTATTTCATTAAATGGTTACAATCTGTAACAACAAAAATCTAGACGTTCCCGAAGATTCTAATGTTTGTTTTATATTAACTCTAAAAATGATCATGTTAATGACTGTTGAGGAGGTTAGATCCCCAGAACTCGCTTGATAAATGTCTTAATTTTGGATTTTATTCATGTGTTGATCAGCTGACCTTATGAACCATCACATTTCCCACCAAGAAAATCCTTGGCTGTGATTGGTTGATGTGTTATTTTAGTGTGCTACTTTTGTGACTCTCCTAAGGACGTTTCTATGATGTATTAATAAACGCCATTTGTGTGCTTGAGTTCATAGAGTTTGCTGGGTGTTTGTACAATACACTTTCTACACTATATCAAGCCACTAGTTCATTGTCTTGTTCTCGTTTATCGACTAAGGTGAACTGGTAATAGTTTCAAGCATATCAAGTGACGAGCATAACAATGACCATTTTTCTTAAAAATCAATTGATTGGCTATAATAATCTAAGAATACTATTCAATTATTTTTTTAGAAAATAATACGAATTTGGTAAAATAAAATTCATGCTGTCAAAATGTTAAAATTATTTAACTTTAGTAAATGTTTTGCAATTAAATTCAATGAACTAAATAAAGTTTTATTTTTCTATTTTAGATGTGCAGAGGATGAGAATTGTTTACGTTTTTACTATAATCATCTAAAGAATACTTGTATTCTTACACAATATATCATTTCGCTTATTCCATCTTATTATCAAAACATGAAACAAGAATGGGATTGTTATTCATTGCATAATCATAAATAACCATTGATCTATTTGTTCTGATGATCGTGTAATACTTGTTGAATGTACCTACCATTTACTAACATGACATCTTTTCAATAATACTTTTAAATAATTCAATTGGTTGTTTTAGTTAATATTCAAACTACTTACCGGCATTCTTGAATTAATGTGCATGAAAATTTTTTATCATGAATTTAAGAGGCCAATAAATAGCGGAAATAATTATCTTTTGCTGTTCATTGATTGAATACTGTGTTTATGACTTCAGGAGACATTATAAATAAATTCAATGATAAATTATCTTAGTAAAACTAAACAGAAACAATGACAATTTTAAAATTGACAAGTTTATAGTACAGAAATGTTTGCATATAGAAAGTTGAATAAAAACAAATAGATCTTGTAAAATAGAACGCAGTTATATATCAAGAAATGTTTAGATCCTTAATTTTCTGAATAATTAGTAAATATATGAATTATAAACTAATCATTCAGAATATATGAACTAAATAAATGTATAATCAATCAACTGCATTCTAAATGAATATAGCGTAATTATTATTCATTGATCTATAAGATTCACAATGCCATAGTTTGAAAAAGTACATCTCTTTCTTTCTGTCATTATATTTAAAAAATTTATTACTTCAATCATTTATTACTGTTATTATGATCATCACTATTAGACATAAGTGATTAGCATTTCGAAAAATAAGTATTTATTTCCGAGTGTACAGCTATGAAAATGAATTCATACAAAACAGAACTCTTTGCTGAATTATTCTTTCTTATTTTTTACGTCTTGATAGATATATTCCGGTATTTTATCTTTACATTTCGGTTAACTGTTAAGTGATGAATTTATCAAAAATTCACGGCACTTTTGAATTAATTTTTAAACTGTTCATAATTCACTAAGTTGTATAAGGTTTACAGACCTGCTGAAAATATATAACATTTCATTAGAAAAGTCTAAATGTTTCATGTTGGTTAAAGTATGATAAATATTTAAATTTCTGATATTATACCTTGTATGCATTCTGTTGGCACATTAAACCATTAAGAAAGTGATTTACAGCTAGAAAAGTGTAATACTTTGATCAATGAACAGATGAATAAAATCTAATAAATGAAAAGTTTAGTTGGTTTCCTCTAAGTAGTACATTTTGGAAATCTATATATTACTTACTTAAGCCTGTTAACCCCAATGGAGCATAGGCCGCCCACCAGTTTTCTCCAATGAAAAATCATACACTTAAATTTCATCTTAATTAATATTTGGAGACTTAAACCGAAAATATGTTTATCAAGATATATTACCAGTAAATTAGTATCATTTTTTATAAGGCTGACTTATCTCTGACTACAAACTATTATAATTTATCTGTGAGATTACATTTTGAGTATTACAACTCCTGATGGACTAAAAAACATGATTTCATTAACTAGTATATTAATCCGTTTAGTTCACTGATAGCTACTACAAGATTAATTAAGATATATATTTTTTTAGTCCTTATACTTAAAATCTCAACAAACTTTAGAAATCTAATTTTAAGATTTCTTGATGAATACGTCAAAAACAGTACTAAGTATTTCCCGTTTCTTTTAAAATGATGGGTATGCGTAACTTTTTAACTTCTTTCAAAAGCTATACGTATGGATTAAAAGAAGAGGTATGTAGGCGCATAACTGAAAATACACTTTAGCATCTATATACATTGTAGATTAGTGTACCACTAACAAGTCGAATAACTATAGAATTAAATAATCCAGTATAATATTAAAAATAAATGTTAGTAAATATGCACTTAATATTTTTTTAAATCTTGTTAATCTTCATAAATCTTAGTGAAAATGTGATTGAACTTATAAGTACTGAGCTTTATTCATGTGTCATAACTTCTTGATACATTCCTGTGCTTATTAACAGAACAATCACAAATTATTCGAAAGTTACATTTTAATTTGTGTCAAACGTTTATAAATCATTTTAGTTATGTTTCATGACACTTTAAATAAATGTCTATGCGGTACAGTAATAATCGCAGTTTACCAAAACAATTATGCATTGTTCGTTAATATGTATCGAATATTGACTACTTAGGTATTTGTTTAAAGAATGAATGAAAATGTGACATGACTGTTCCTACCACCATACAACAGTCCATCTCTTGTTTTTTTTATCTTAATTTATTATTTTCATAATCCAATGATTAATCAAAAGACAGGAACTGTGAGATCACAGGAGTAACTTGACTTCCACATTCTAATTACATATTGTTTAATCACAAAACCGTACAGATTTAAAAGAATAAAAGTTAACAGTTGATATTCTCTTGTAAAAACATATCATCACTCAGTTGATATAGTTTATATTTTTAAATTAGAACGTTTCGTGGAAACTTGAATGGTTAACAACCTTATCATTCATTATTCGATATGAACTCATTACAGACTAGTGTACATGTTGCAATAACATTCAGATAAAACCAATTTAATCAGATACTGGGCAACGTTGTTCCATTATCAAGACAGATGTCATTCTTTAATATTTCAGGAATCTATAAACTTAGTTATAAGTTATCTAAAGTGATAACTAACCAACGTGATAATAGGACTGTTGGATAAATCATATAACTAATCACTTAAAAATCACGATTGGATTCTGGAGTTAGTAGGACAATTCACAGTTAACATTAGAGCACTTTATTAAAATGCAGAGACTGGTATTATCTCGACCTACCCCTATTGCTCTCCCTTCAACTAGGCTCTAAACAGAAAAAAATTTTCTTGAATTTACTTTCATTTATAAACTAATCAACTCATTATCACTGGATTACTGTGACCAATAAATCTATGGAGATTGATGGAGAGTATTCATCAAGCGATAAGTCACAAATCTCAATCAAGGGAAACAAACTGAAGGTCTTCAAGTTCAACAAATATTTTATGAGTCTAAATTGTCACAAATGAAAAGATATATTAAAATGAATTCAAAAGTCCAGAAAATGGAGAATAAATGGGTATAGAAACAAAAAACACTCAATATTCAGAGGTGGATCGAATTTATGTATATCAGTGACATTTTTACTCATCACTGATTTTAAACATTTTACGCGTCGAGATAAAGTGTCAAAAGTGAATAATAACACATAATAATAATGAACTAGTATCATAACTTGACTTGATCATATTGAACCTTGGTATTGCCGTGAAATGTATCCATAATTAACGATTCGTAACACATCTCAGTGGTTTTAATTAGAGACGGATTTGGTCTTGTGTGCTTTTACGGTTATAAGGGCGGATGTCACTTCCTGGCTGCCCACGCAATGGGTGTTTCCTGAGGAACCAAAGAAGGGAGGTAGATTAGCGTTGGTCTTAGAGGCCTGGGAGCGTGACCGCAGAGCCCGAGGGATAACTGCTTGAGGCGAACAGACTACTAGCCTTATTTTCGGTCTCTCTCTTAAATACAACATCATATTACTTAGTTATTCAAACAAGTGACCTAGGTAGGAAAATTTTTTATCATTCGTATAGACAGAAAACAAAGGAATTCCTTTAGAAAAGTTAACAGAGTACTTGATTTACATGTAACTTTAGAATTGAACAGATTAAATAACTAACAAAATAAAGTTTAAGTTAAGAAAAGCGGAAAATTTGCACAGATGGATAAAAACCAAAGCTCAATGTTGAACTGTTAAATCCAATGCATTGGAAACTTCAAATCCTGGTGATAGTCATTTACATGATGAAGAGAAACAATGGTTTTTTCAAGGTTCAGGCTAATGTCATATGCCCGTGCTATTTAGGTAGACTCATATATTATACTACATAAAGCTTCATCTTATCATTAGAGTTACATTACACTGCCTGACTAATACACTTCGCTTAATCTTCGTAGTAAAATACCACATCAATTGTTGAATTAAGCCATTTTCCAGAACGTCAGTAAAGTCAGTCAGTCAGTTGCAACGTAGAACTTCGTACGTATGTACATAAGTTCATGTTGCCATACCACATTATTAGCACAGAGACGCAAATGTCAAATCAAATCCCATAGTGATAAAGATGGTAGAGGTATTGATGTTATAATAAAGAAGACTAGGGTTGTTATTCAAAAAATATAATTCAGGGAGATAAGGTTAGAAAGACAAAGGTAGAGGTGCTGGCTAATCCAGAAGATTAAGATTTGAGAGAGCTCAAAGAGTGTATGCACCTGCGTCAGTAAAGTAGAAGTTAATTTCTCCGTAGCAACAAATCAAAATCATATGGTAAAACGATTTCGCCAAATAGTAGAAAGACAATTTGGAAGTGATTCTTCAACTAATACGCCAGAAACGAGTGATCGCTATTTCATAACGTCAACCAATGAGATCAACAATACTCTTGGTAAAAATACATACTGTGTGTTGGAGTTAAAATTATAACACGAGTTATCACCAGTTACAAGATGACTATCGACAAATTACAACGAAGTTACGCAATGGTAAAAAAATACAATTCGAAACTCGGTGTGATGTATTTATTGAATTGCTTGCGTATTTTTCTAAGTAGTATGAAACTACAGTAAGAAAACTTGTTGACTACTATTAGGAATTTATCGATTCCAACGCATCCAGAAACAAAAGAAAACAGTTTGATCGATGTTTTTGCTATTTAATCCTGACAGATTCATTAAAACAACAATAAAACAGAATGTACATAACTCTCAGCTTATATATGATCCTCCATGTCGTTGTTTATTCAAGACGACTCTAAATTTAATCAGATTTTCAAATAGATCATCCAACAACGATAGAATATGAAATGATATTTCAATAACTTGAACTATCAGTTCATGACCTTTACCTATTATCGAATTCGTGCAATGATTATTGACACTTCTGTATAAAATAGTGTTCAGGAACTACGACTTCTAATAAGAATTTGTCACATTGATATCTATGATCAACAGTGAATACTGACGAATTTTCTTTTTTGAACATCTCACCAGTTGAAAATATTTTGTAGTGAATAGTTAGATTAGTCACTCGTTACTTCAAATAATAAACCTACTGAATAGTGATAACTTTTTTTTACTAGTAAGAAAGTATTAACAGAATATCATTTATTTGCTTTGAATAATTTGCCGAGTATTAGTTTTAGGTAGCTAAATGTCTTGACATTACCACTTCATCACCAAATAACACACTTCTTCGAAAAACCAAACAAGAATTAAATTAATAAACTTGAAGATTAGTTAGAATTAAATCGATCTTTATTTGAATGATAAGAACACGTATTGTTTTTTTTTTCTGAAAAAAAAACCCATCTCTTTTAAGTTAATAATATCAAATGTTTGAAGTATTATTTGTGTCTTCACATTTGTATTGTTTATTAGAATTAAGAATAGATGATAAAATAAACAAAGGAATATCAAATGTTTCATCATTTAAAAGAACCAAATCATATAGTGAACTGAATAATTTCAATTTTTCGTCATCCTGTAAACATAAACAAAAATTGAAAATTGAATAATGTAAGAATAATTTTCTATATATAAAATACATTGGAAAACATTAAGGATCCACATAGAATACATCAAATAAGTTAATGTTCTATCCTTTGATTTAATGAGGTATTTGCATTCTAATAGAATGGTTTACCAACACATTAAGAAGCACAAACAGGTATATTTCCAATTCATTAATTACATTACAGTGGGGTCAGTGAGTCAACATAATAATCTGTCAATTACTAATAACTAACATGAGGGGTAGGTTTTAGTTTGAAGTTGTAATTTGCGAATCGCACTACCACTTGATGAACTAAAAGCACATTCACCTGACGAGTCATATGTAAAATATGATACTTGTGATTATAAACACTATTACTGTATATAAACCATAAGAATCTGTGACCCTTAACTCAAAATCAACAAGAAGGGAGATAACATAGCGACCATAAAATCCATAGTATACTTTAGAATTCCCACATTTCTATTACCATAATAAATTAGTCGGGCAGAGCAAGATTACATGCTATCGCAAGGAAACCCGGTAATGAATCATGCAAAAGTGGACATGAATGGATTATCTATCTGACAAAGGTAATTCTCCACAAACCTTTATTTGAACCAGTTTAACTTTGTATATATGGCTATGAATAATAAACATACCCCTCCAATTTCAGTAACAGAGCTTCCAACCTACTCTTGACCTTTTACTCATCAAATCTAGTAGGGTAGGCGTTATGAAACGAGTACTAGTCTCTGAACTACACTGGCAGAACACAAAACAGTTCAGTTTTATAATGAAAATACATTCAATAGAGAGACCAAAGTCTCGTTTGGCAAAGAATTCTGATAAACAATATTCCATGTGGTAGAAAAGTTATAAATCTTAAGCTCTCAAAATAGTGATTCGTAATAGAATAATTTTATTAAATAACATATTCATTTGATTAGGAAGCAGTACACAAAGAAAGTCCAAATTTTAAATAAAAATACTGATAGTGTGGTGCGCGCTACTTATAAGTAGTATATGACGCGAGTGAAAACGTAATGTCTGGCAGCAGAAGATGGGGGAAGATCAAGAAAGGAAGAGTGGGAACACAATGGAATTTGTATGAAACGCATGAATAGTGAAATGTCAGACAATGGATTGAAGATTTGCAAATTAACCGTTTACGATATGGTTTTCCTATTTTACTGAGTAACTCTGTAATTTGCGATAAATACAATTCGGTTGCCCTCACCTGTGTTCTCCTTCACTACAATAGTAGTATCAAGAAGCTATTTAATAATATCAGCGCAAAAATCAGTGACAATGGACAAGTAAAAGTTCATCCACAAGAATTTGAGCCACATATAATGAGTCGGATGATTAAATCATCAAATAAGAAATAATTTAATAAGTCAATATTTCATTTTTATTTCCACTAATTTATGAGGGTTGCAAAAAAACATTCCATTTGAAAGTAATGAATCTCCATTCATGTTCTGTTTAGTACCAAGTTGACTGAAAACTGAACATCTTTTCCTAAGAATCCCAACTTAACAACACAATATATCAGTTGGAGATAACTGAAACTATTGAATTCTTGAAGATATCATACGTTGACATCGCAATAATACTATGAAATTAAGTTTAAAAAAAATTTTCACTACTTCACCCAAACTATAGATACCACCATTTTCAATATCAGTAGACGAAATTCACGTTCATAAAAAATATACAAAACAAACAACATGAAATCTATTTGTTAAACAGAAACGATATTAAAGAATGAGTAATAAAATGCTTACTTTTTCATTTAAAAATCCTATACGAATAACTAGAACTTGTTTACAAGAAAATTTTTGTCTATCATCAATCATCTTTGCATCATTTGTTGAGTCACCAACAAGCAGAATACAAGTTCTTTTAGACAAAACTGTTTCAAAATATTCAGTATTTTGTATTAAATTATACATTTTATTAAGAGAATGAATAACTGGATCTTGGAATCCAACTAAACGACCCTAGAACAGTAAGTTAACAAGAAGGGTCACATTAAAAGATGATGTGATTAATAAAGATTAAAATGTATATATTATCTAAAAGTGAAATTAGACATCACAATGACAATACTACTTTAAATATAAAGTAACACAAAAGGTTCGTGTACAACTTGAGAAAATAATGAATTACTGAATGTATTAGAAATATAAAAATCCCATAGAAGGTTTAACCATGAAATAATTTTTAAGTATCACAATATTTACTACTGTTTGCAACTGCAACACCCACTCCAGTTACATGGATAATCATTTTTTCTTGTACATGAAGACTACTGTGATGTACAGCTTAAGTACATGAGTAATGAATTATTCTCTTTGAAAACAACAATTACTATAAAACAAAGTTTAAAACTTGTTGACTAACAAGAAAATAATGGCTTAAAAACTTTCAGAAATCCAAGACAAAAGTTTCTATTGACTAGTCACATTTATTAATTAGATAACAATGCATTATGACTGGATATAACTATGGTACGGAACTAAGTACGATAAAATCTTACTTTGGTTTACTACAAAGGATCAGATAGACTGGCTGTCGAAAAAATCTAAAGGATACAAAAATCGGGAGATGTTTGCTGATCTAGTCTAGAAATAGCCGTTATTAATCGAAGTTTATAAATTATCGAAAAAACAACAATATGATGAGACCTACTAGGTTTTTGAAACCCAAAATACGAGTCTGCATTAGTCTATCATTCAGAAGTGACTCAAGTATTCTCTATACTGAAGCAAAGATGTAATTTAGCTATTTATCATTAAGACATTTAACGTAGCCCAACTTGTCATTACTGAAAAGTCAAGGTCTATGTTTCACTAAGAATCCAAACAGTAAGTAAATGATTGTTTCACATCCATTTTCATGTACATGTACGTGCGGACATAATCACACAGGAAGGAGCAATCGTGATCTACAAGTAAGAGCGGCTGGACAAATACCTAAATGGCTACAGCTGATTGTTCTCAACCATCAAGTGATAATCGAACAATATTAAGACTCTAAATATAAGACCTATCATAAGAATATAATTTCTTACTTCAGGATTGAAGTCCATAAAATTTGACACAACACGAACATTATCCAAAGATGAACCTGATGATCTCAAAACCGTTTCTATAACATTTCCTATGCCACCAGAGAATATAATTAAAGGTATGCTGAGTTGAGTCAACTTATTTACAAAATCAGTTGTATTATTCCTGAAATTAAAGACAGTCGTTAGTTTCAACATTGAAATTGGATGCAAAACAAAATTTAAGAAATGCACAAATGAACAGACGTAACAATAATCAAACTGAAATTTATCTGAAGTATAATATCTTACTTAAAGTCCGGATAATTTATAACTTGAAAAAGCGAACAACCTATAAATTAGCTTTTAAAAAAGTAGGCAGGATATCGTGTATTTAGTAGTGTTTAATAACAAAACAATATTGCATGAACTAACTGTTCTTAAACATACCTTTCAATGAAAATGTCTGATTATATGATAGTATAAGTGATGCTTCCGTTGACCAAATAATGTTGAAAGTTAAACTATAAATCTAGCTAGTAGTAGAAAGTACACACGGACAAAATCATATTTTGTAAAAACACCTAATTTAGAGTCCGATAACTAACTACCAATCAAAGTTCTCAGTAGCACAAATAGTTACACAACATTTCAATACCACAGATAAACGTTTTCGTGTTTTGAATGTAATCCATTCTCGTCATTGTACTTTTGAATAGATTTAAGTCTCAATTACTCTCATTAATGATTCCCTTTTTTGTCATTGCAGTAGAGCAATCTAGACTAATGCATTTTTATTTAACTTAATGGGATGCGAAAAGAATGTAGACAGAAAGGTATGGTTTTGTAAAACTTTCAGTATAATTTAGCTACGTTTGTTTTAAGTCTTATAAGAAAAATGAAGCAGCAAGCCACTGTTTCTATCCACATACTTAAGTTATTCTCTGTTTGAAACCAAATACGTACAATTGTGTCAGTTTTGTCCATTACTTCGAACCTACCAAAGTTAACTAAAGTACAGAATAATGAGACTGAGTGATTTAGTGTAATGTCTAGTGTCGTCTACTATGTAAGCAATTTTTAATGTAAGTGAACCAATTAATAGATTTAATGTTAATATAAAAAGGTCAATAGGTACTATACTCTACTACACCACCTGAAAGGACGCTCTTTAATATCAAATCTAATAATTCTTAATATTTACTAAAATAAATAAGTTTCTTAGGTAAAACAACTAACTTAACTAAGTTCAGTTTGTAAACTAACAGCCTCTTCGGTACAACATTTAAGGCTTTTGGATTACTGTCTCAGTTAAGAATGATATAATCAATAGGTAAAGCCTTATGCATCTTCTGCTTAAAAAACAGGGACTTATAGACGCTATATGGATGCTAAATATCATAACCAGATCTTTGTTGGATACTACTAGCCAGAAGACAACAGACCCTTTCTTGTTGCTAACTAATCAGTTACAATATTAGTTGTCATATGGATTTTTTAGTGTGATGTTTTAACACAAGGACTAACCTTAGTACTATTTCACCGTCTAAGACACAAGCTTCAATATCGTTCTGATATACGTTCCCGTCAACCAACGCTTTATGGGCTAATTTCCAGAATTCCATCATCAGTGACAGCTTCTCGCACTCATATATGCCACTACACGTTTCAAGCGGAGTATAAAATTCCGAGAGTTCTTTCAGCTAGGAAATTAAACACTGAAGCCTTTATTTACCCGTAATCTAGATATCTCAGGAATTCTGGGATTTTTCATGAACAATTCTCCCGTGTTCACTATATTATCTCAAACAAATAGGGATTACCATGACAAACAGGGATCTTTTTGGAATCTTGAGTGTATTTGGACATTGTGTGATCAAAATCACAAATAACCTTACACTAATTTTAATTTAGATTTCTTACTTGCATATATTCTGGTCCATAACGTATGAAATCTGCTAGTTTACTTACAAACGTGGAACTAACATGGATTAGACGATGATCTTCAAACTATATGCAGAATATTAGATTAAAGGGTTACCATGGATCTTAACGTATCACAAACATGACTCGCAAGTAAACGACAATCATGACTATCTAAGGTCATGAGTTTGAGAGATTGCGAAGGCCAGAGTGGTCATGTGAACAACTAAATAGACATTGGAGACCAATGTCTAATATCCCAAAACTTTTCATGAACTAGTATAAACTAACTGATTTCTTTGCGCTCGCCTCTTGTTTTTTTCACTGGTTACACTAAATTTAGTCAGTTGGTAGTTCTTGACGAATTTGCATTTCACGTTATTTGAGTGAATGCGTTTGTTTCAGGGAGACAGGACTTCTGGATACTAGTGACCATCACATATCTTAATGCCTGATCAAGTGCTTGCTCTTTTATATGCTATTTTTCGAGAGATGCAACGAGGGGTTCGGCAGTGATATTTTGGCAAGATGCTCGTGTTAGGATTAGCCGGAATACTTAATTTCTCGTATGTCATTAGTAGGTCACGTCTGCTAGTATAATCCCAAATGTTGAAGCCTGTCTTCATACATTCTATTCTTTAACCCAGTAAAACGTTCAGTTCCTCGTTTTTCCATTAGATCCTCTAGATGTAACACTATGTTATTGATCACCTTCCCCAAATCTCTGAAATTATGTTAATTTTAATGGATTAGGATCTGACTCTACTTCACATGGGTGCCAACTGGTTAATTCATTTGTGAATTATTAGTTGTTTGGCAAATCTTAATTTCTTTTGAAATAATCCATGAGCAAGTGAAATTCCCATCTTCTGTGCATAACATTTTGTTACCTATTTTTAATAGTCCACTGCTGACGTGGGGTATTTCTCGAAAGAGTGCACAGATAACAGTGCATGTTCATGAAGTAAACTACATCTAGTATGTTTATTTACGATGTTTCAGAACTTCAAAGTTAGTTGAAATTAGTGCGGAAGTCTAACTGATTGAAAGTATTCAGATGAAATCGTTCCTAATATCGAACTACGGCACTACTCGTTAATAAGGTGTTGTGATCCCAACCATAGCTGCTATCTTGACATGGCAGTCGGGCTTGCCCATAGTGATGACCCAGTCGAGCTATATTGGCCGAAACACATGATCATTTGGGTCCTACCATGCCAGGCAGGTCGATTGGAGAACGGTAAATCTAAAAGCAGCAACTCAAGGTCGGAGGGCGAAGTCATACTGCTGACTGCAGAAGGGTGTGATAGAAATGAGGTGTTTCCCTTGGGAAAATATATTTCTGTAGGTTCTACCATGCCAAGTAGGTCGATTGAACAACGATGGGATTAAAAGCAGCAACTCAAGGTAAAGGGGTGAAGTCATACTCTAAAATTGCCACACCTCACCCTACCTCACGGATTCTCGTCTCCGGCTGTAAGACCTTTTAAACAAGAGCGGAGCCAACACTTCAAAACTTACTTACTTACTTATGCCTATTACCCACAATGTGGCATAGGCCGACGACCAGTTTTCTCCAACTAACTCTGTCCTGCGCTTGGCTTTCTAGTTCTTTCCAGTTTTTGTTCATTAGTCTCATGTATTTCTCTATTTCTCAGCGTAGTGTGTTCCTTGTCCTCCCTCTTTTCCTTTTACCTTCTTGCGTGTGCTACAGAATGGCCAGGTCATCTGCGAAGTCCAGATCGTCCAGCTGCGTCCTAGCTGTTCGTTGGATACCGTGCTTCCCTCTAGATGTCGACGTCTTCATAATCCAGTCGACCACCAGGAGAAAGAGAAAGGGTGAGAGTAGCAACCTTGCCTGACACGTACGCGGTCGATTCTTATGGAATCCAGCCTGCTGATCTCGAAGTTGGACGTCTACGAAGTCCTTCATTCTGTTTAACAATACCCTGTTGAAGACTTTGCTTTTTATTGAAAGAAGAGTGATGCCTCTGTAGTTCTCACACTTGCTCAGATCGCCTTTCTTTGGTATTTTGATCAGGTATCCTTCTTTCCAATCTGATGGTACTTCTTCCTCATCCCGAATCTTCTTGAAGAGGGTGTGAAACATTTTCGCATTTGCTTCCACATCTGCTTTCATTCCCTCTGCTGGAATGTTGTCTGGTCTTGCTGCTTTGCCGCTCTTGATTTGTCTGATGGCCATGCTGATCTCCTCAATTGTAGGTGCGCCAATATTAGTTGGGAGGTCCGTGGATGCTGCTTCGATGTTGGGTGTGTTCAGTGGAGCTGGTCCATTCAAGAGTTCCTGAAAGTGCTCTACCCACCTATTTCGCTGTTCTTCAGTGTTGCTGATTACTTTGCCTTCCTTGCTTTTCACTGGTAGTCCTGGTTTCCGATAGTTACCGGCGAGCTTCTTTGTTGTTTCGTACAATTGTCTCAAGTTTCCGTCTCTTGCAGCCTTTTCCGCCTTCATTTCTAGATCATCCACATATTTTGGTTTGTCGACTCTGATGCTCTTCTTCCCTTTCCTGTTTGCCTCTGTGTATTCAGCTTGTGCGGTAACTTTCTCTGCTCTTGTTTGGCTGACATTGATTGCTGCCCTCTTGTTCCTCCTTTCTTCAATTTTTGCAAGAGTATCAACAGACATCCAATCCTTGTGATGGTACTTCTTGTGATCCAGAACTTCGTGACATGTTGAAGTGACTGCCTCCTTGATCCCTTTCCAGTTGTTCTCCAATGTTACCCTTTTGAAGACTTTGCCTGGTATTGAGAGAAGAGTGATGCCTCTGTAGTTCTCAGACTTGCTAAGATCGCCTTTATTTGGTGTTTTGATGAGGTATCCTTCTTTCCAGTCTGATGGTACTTGTTAAAGCCTACGTAAACGACCGCGAACAGTGGTGGGTGGCGAAAGCAAAAGCGATGGTAAAGGCAGCGGCGATAGGCAACACTATACAAATTTTCCGCCTTATCAAAGAAACCGGTATTAGGAACACGAATGTGAGTGAGACTATCTCGGAAAAGGATCGCTATATTATCCATTCTCAATCGAGGAGACTGGATCGATGGGCAGAACACTCTAGGGACCAGTTCAACTGGTCTTCAGCCACACTTCGTTTGACCACGATTCCCAGTCATCCTGAATGGCAAATCGATCTAAGTCCCCCCAGCCTATATGAAGTTGAGAAAGCTATAGGAAACCTGAAGCGAAGTAGAACAGCAGGGCCTGATTGGCTTACCCCTGAGATGTTTAGGGTGGTGGTCCAGATTTAACAGTCAGACTGACCGAGATCCTAAGTAGAATCCGGGAACTCGACGTAATCCCATCTGACTGGTCTCAGTCGCTAATTATCCCAATCTCCATTAAAGGACAAAAGTCCTCTTGTGACAGTCACAGGGGAATAAGTCTAACTAACTAGTTTCTAAATTGTTAGCCTCGGTTATACTTAAATGCCTAACTAAAGCTCGTGAAGAGCAGACAAGAAAAAAACCAGTCTGGTTTCAGACCTGGACGTGGTTGTATAGACCACATCTTCATACTACGACAGGTCTTGGAACACAGACACAGGTTTAGACGTCCGACAAAAGTCGTGTTCCTGGACCTACAGGCGGCATTTGACTCAGTGGATCGTGAGGTTCTGGTGGTAGTGTCTGTCATTGAAAGGCGTACCAAAGAAGTACATTAACCTTATACAAGCACTCTACTAGAACACTACTGGTCGAGTGAGAGCATATGGCGAACTGTCACCGGAATTCTTTGCTTCAAGTGGTGTCCACTCTCTCCATTCTTGTTTAACTTTGTCGTAGACATCCTCTTAGAGTTAACATTAAGCTCGTCAGATTTTTCAGAGGTTGACCTTCTACCAGGAAAGTCGCTTATTGACTTACAATATGCCGATGACATAGTTCTGTTTGATGAAGAAGCTGACAGAATGCAGTCTTTCGAATACCCCAAACAACAACGCAAGCATGTTCGGAATGCGGTTTTCCCCGTCGAAATGCAAAATGTTGCTTTAGGATTGGGTTGCATCGGCACCTGAACTAGTGATAGGGAGTGAAGCAGCTGAGCGTGTCGACCGCCTCACTTATCTGGGTAGTCTCATCAGTGCTGACGGCCTGCTGACTGACGAAATCTCAGCTCGGATACAGAAGGCTCGATTGGCTTTTGCCAACCTGCGTCACTTATGGCGTAGGCGAGATATCCGTTTGCTGACTAAAGAACGAGTGTACTGCGCAGTAGTTCTCTCCGTCTTACTTTATGGCTGTGAAACATGGCCAGTAAGAGTAGAAGATATTCGTAGGTTACTGGTTTTCGATCATAGGTGTCTTCGAGGCATTGCTCGTATATCATGGGACAACCGAGCAAGCGATGCTGTCGTTAGGATACTGATACTAAGTAAGGATGGCAAATCAATAGATGAAGTATTGAAACTTCATCAGTTTAGGTGGTTGGGACATGTGCTGCGTACGCCTAACCACTGACTGCCTCGACGAGCTTTATTTTATAATGTAGCAGTAGATTGGAAGAAAGTTAGGGGCGGCCAGACCAAAACATGACAGAAATCCATGAAATCATTGACTAGTGGACTTAGCCATGTCGGTAATTGTCGACTACCTGGTTGGGGTCCGCGAGTTGATAATAATCGATGGTTAGAGACCTTGAATGACATGGCTCAAAATCGTTCGCAATGGCGCCGGTGCATTTATTCTCTGTGTTCTCTCAAACCCTAATCTTCTGGATTCTTCAACCCCTCTGCTTTTGTCTTCCTAACCTTATCTCACTGAATCATTCTTCTTGAATAATATCTTCAAACCCTGGTCTTCTTCATTTCCTTTAATACCTCTACTATCTTTATCACTATTGTATTTGATTTGACATTTGCGTCTCTATGCTAATGTGGTATGGCAACATGAACTGATGTACATACGTACGAAGTTCTACGTTGCAACTGACTGACTGACTGATGGTACTCGTTCTTAATTCCAAATCTTCTGGAAGAGAAAGTGAAGTATTTTTGCTGTTGCTTCGTCGTCTACTTTGGTTGCCTCTGCTGGGATGTTGTCTGGTCTTGCTGCTTTGCCGTTCTTGATTTGTCTGGTGGCCATGCTGATCTCTTCAACTGTAGGTGCGCCATCATCGATTGGGAGGTCCGTAGATGTTGCTTCGATGTTGGGCGGGTTCAGTGGAGCTGGTTGATTCAAGAGTTCCATAAATGCCAAACCTCTCCTCCTTTATCCAGGCTTGGGAGCGGCAGTAACCCCGAAGGTTCTACTGGCGGAGTCAACACTTTGAAAACCTCTCATATCTAACTACGCTCCCACTGACCGCAGTTCGAACAAGATAAAATATGAGTATTACAGAAACCTCTCCTACCTTCTATATAGTAATAGTGGCTAGTGACTTTAATGCTGAAGTAGGTAGACTAAGTGAAACTGAAAGACACCTTGGCGGAACTTGTGGTGTAATGGCTCAAAGATAAGATAATCGCGGCTTTCTATTGCAGCTATGCTCAGATAACCGCCTATTTCTAGCAGACTCTAACTTTAAGTATAAGGAAAAACATCTCTTGACCTAGCGACTCAAAAAAACCGACCAAACGCTGGATTCAACTAGATCACATCCCTATCAGCCATCGGTGGAGAGGCTCAATGGAACACTGTCTCTCATTCTGGGGTACATGTTTGGATTCAGATCATGCTGCAGTGAGAGCGCGTATTTTTTTGCGGCTTACTGGACCTAGGAATGACACCACAAGGAAAGCTCTTAGGGTTCTATGTAATTAAAGCATATCTAGGAATATATTTCAGGGACAACCAGGAAAAGTCAGACCACGATGCAAGTGATTCCTATCCTGAGGGAGCTTGGAATGATATCAAAGAGATGTGGAAACAGCAGTGATATCTGCTAATAAGGTAAACCATAAGGTTAGCGAGAAGCTGTCGATCTCAGTAGCATCAACTGAACTGACAGATGCTCGAAAACTCATCTCAACTGTCTCTAGACATGAAGAAGAGCGAGGTTAGCTGAAGCTAAAACTGACTAATTAACATAATTCATAACTCCTGCAAAAGTGGACTTATAAACGTGGTGTGTTCTCTTAAGTCTGCTACCATTGAATCACAACCAACAGACGTATTTTTCAACCCACACTACGATTTCTTACACTTACAATTGTGAGTTCTAGACCTGCTAGTTGCTACGAAGGTTAAGAAGCACATTTTGCGCGGCGACAATCTGTTGCGAATGAGTGACTGAGCTCCTTCAAATAGGGTGCGTCTAGAAAAAATAAAGAATTTCACATCATTGTTGGTGTGATTTACTACTTCCTATTGTATCCCCTAACTGATAACCACTATCACTTGACATACAAACACTAGTCAGAATTTCGTCTTATCACCAGAAAGTGTGACTTACTTACTTACTTACTTACGCCTGTTACCCACAATGGAGCATAGGCCGCCCACCAGTTTTCTCCAACCAACTCTGTCCTGGGCTTCTCTCTCCAGTTCTGTCCAATGTTTGTTCATTCCTCTCATATCTTTCTCTATTTCTCGTCGTAATGTGTTCCTTGGCCTTCCTCTTTTCCTTTTACCTTGAGGGTTCCATGTGAGGGCTTGTCTTGTGACACAGTCAGGTGCTTTTCGTAGTGTGTGTCCTATCCACTTCCACCGCTTCTTCCTGATTTCCTCCTCCACTGGAATCTGCTTTGTTCTCGCCCACAGTTCGTTGTTGCTGATGGTGTCTGGCCAAAGAATATTTTGCGTATTTTGCGTAGACAGCTGTTAATAAACACTTGTATCTTCTGGATGATGGCTTTCGTAGTTCTCCAATAAACAATAAATATTAAATCACGCAACAACTGTCAGTGGGTTGGCAAAAAAGACTACACACAATAATCCATAAATCAGTCTTGGAAGTTATTACTCCTCTATTCTTCTTCCTGATATAGCAATCAGCTGATTGTTAGGTATTGATAACTCTAAGACGTGGCCGGCCAGCAGTTCAATGCCGACGGGCGTAACGTCAGTAAAAAATTTTCTGATACTATATGCATCAGCGTTCGGTTGTCCGTCCCTACTATAAGGAGCCATGTTGTGCATACCGATGACGTATGCAAAGTATACGGTGACAAAATCGGTTTTTGGTGTGCATCTCCTGCCTTTCGTCTTTTCCAGTCGTCCTGGAAAAAGAAGGAAATGAAAACATTTGTGCGTGCTGAAATACATTTAAGTTAACATGGGAATACCAAAATAGACCCTCATATATACTATATATACCATGTGGTGGAGAAAAAATAACATCAGGAAAGGTCTCGTCTCTGAATGTCTCGTAAAAATACTTTTCACAAACACATTCCACACATTAAAGATACTCCGTACCAACGAAAACTTTAATTTGGGTCATGCTTGGAGTTTTAGTTCTTTTTGACTATGCATACATACAATCAGTCGACGATTTTATGGGTAATTATCCATCCAGATTATCATGTCTGAGAAACCATGGATACTCCTTGAAGTATCAGATATTTTTATCTTGTTGGCGTACTGAGAAAGTTGGCCCAAATATATTTTTCATGCAACGCTTAAATAGTCCAAGGCTGTGGTTCTTCAGAGTCGTTCACACATTGACCAGCTGTCACTCAAAACAGAAGACTATAAAGCATCCGTGATATGTTTGTAAAGCATAAAGCTTGTTAAATGAGTACTTATGTTTGTTCGCAGCTATTGATATCTTTTGTTCACTGAATCGCTTGCGTCAAATTTCAAACTAATCGACACAATGCTTGGAAACTTCGTACGTAGGTTATCGGGACGAGAAGGCCTTGTTCGGGTACATTTTAGCTGTGTGAGAAATGCCCACACCTGTCTTCCTTATTCAGAATATCATCCGGATATCAATCTTCAAGTAACAGGAGAACTTAGTGATCTGGAGTTTCCTCCTGATAGAAGACGTTTACCTGCGGTCAGTCGACAACCTCAGCTACCAGCGTCCTCTAAGCCACCCAAATATACACGACAAAAAATTGACTGGCGGGGTCCAGAAACTATTTTTAATAAGCTTATTTATCGTCAGTATGGAATTCAAGCAAGTTGCCCTAAAATGTTTTTCATTTTATTACTGTAGGTACACTTTTCAAGTCGTCTTTTATTCCGATTCCTAAGAGCTTTTCTATTAACATACCATAGATTACGGGTTGGTCAGTAGGGTTATATCATACACTAGGGCTTCCTTTTAAATGACAACTTGAGCTGGTAACATAAAACTTGGAGGGATAGACTTTTAGCAACACCATCCAAAGATTTTGTATGTCGACTCTGGCGATTTTATGTTCATTCTTGACTACTTGTTCCACATCTGAGGACGCTTTTCATTATGAACAACAGTAGTCCATAATAATGTAACACTCATAACCCAACGAAGTTGCTATGGTCAGGCTCACAGAGCTTCCATGTATCATATGTACAAAAGAATAGATGGGCAATCGTCTAGCGGGCTGAAAGGAACTGCGCTATGGTCAACTAGCGTCAATATATTCATGAGCAAGAAATTTTAAATATAAAATAACCCGCTTCATGTATACTTTATATATGGCTTCATTAGTACTATGGAAATCCGTTCTCGTTTATAATCTCTCATCAGGTGTCGATATTACGTGTTTTAGTAGAGGGTTCCAACATTTCACCCTGGTACGGTAAGTGAAAATCCTGGTGTAAACGAGTTAATCTTGGTTTCTTAACTTTCGTGGAGTATCCTTTCATATAATTATTCCCGAATAGAAGGAAAGGACACGACATGGCAATTATCAGATACCTAAGCAACTCAGTGAAACATTCAGCCAGGTATTGTTGATCATATCAGGACGTCATCACAGTGTTGACAGTCAGTCAGTCAGACGCAACGTAGAACTTCGTACGTAAGTACATCAGTTCATATTGCCATACCACAGCACAGAGATGTAATTGTCAATTCAAATCCAGTAGTAGTTGAGGTAGTAAAGGTATTAGAAGTAATCGGAGAGGTTAGGATTAGATATTATTCAAGAAGAATGATTCAGTGAGATAAGGTTAGAAAGACAAAAGCAGAGGGGTTGAAGAATCCAGAAGATTAGGGTTTGAGAGAACACAGAGAATAAATGCACCGGCGCCATTGCGAACGATTTTGAGCCATGTCATTCAAGGTCTCTAACCATCGATTATTATCAACTCGCGGACCCCAACCAGGTAGTCGACAATTACCGACATGGCTAAGTCCACTAGTCAATGATTTCATGGATTTCTGTCATGTTTTGGTCTGGCCGCCCCTAACTTTCTTCCAATCTACTGCTACATTATAAAATAAAGCTCGTCGAGGCAGTCAGTGGTTAGGCGTACGCAGCACATGTCCCAACCACCTAAACTGATGAAGTTTCAATACTTCATCTATTGATTTGCCATCCTTACTTAGTATCAGTATCCTAACGACAGCATCGCTTGCTCGGTTGTCCCATGATATACGAGCAATGCCTCGAAGACACCTATGATCGAAAACCAGTAACCTACGAATATCTTCTACTCTTACTGGCCATGTTTCACAGCCATAAAGTAAGACGGAGAGAACTACTGCGCAGTACACTCGTTCTTTAGTCAGCAAACGGATATCTCGCCTACGCCATAAGTGACGCAGGTTGGCAAAAGCCAATCGAGCCTTCTGTATCCGAGCTGAGATTTCGTCAGTCAGCAGGCCGTCAGCACTGATGAGACTACCCAGATAAGTGAGGCGGTCGACACGCTCAGCTGCTTCACTCCCTATCACTAGTTCAGGTGCCGATGCAACCCAATCCTAAAGCAACATTTTGCATTTCGACGGGGAAAACCGCATTCCGAACATGCTTGCGTTGTTGTTTGGGGTATTCGAAAGACTGCATTCTGTCAGCTTCTTCATCAAACAGAACTATGTCATCGGCATATTGTAAGTCAATAAGCGACTTTCCTGGTAGAAGGTCAACCTCTGAAAAATCTGACGAGCTTAATGTTAACTCTAAGAGGATGTCTACGACAAAGTTAAACAAGAATGGAGAGAGTGGACACCACTTGAAGTAAAGAATTCCGGTGACAGTTCGCCATATGCTCTCACTCGACCAGTAGTGTTCTAGTAGAGTGCTTGTATAAGGTTAATGTACTTCTTTGGTACGCCTTTCGATGACAGACACATCACAGTGTTTTAGTAACCACCTGCTTGAATGGCTTCATAGTGATATATTCCATATACTTATTCCCATTTGATGACTGTTAATAGTTCACAAATAATCAGGAATTTTATCTTATTGCTTTAAAATCGAGTAATTTTTGTCTCATAACTATCACACGAATTCATCCTGATTACTGTGTTTTATCATGATTTCATTCTCATTTCAATTCACTTTATAGGCAATGGAAGGAGGTGAACTTGAGTTTGGTCATTTTGAAATGATGAGGATAGCTATTAACAAACATATAGAGGAAAAGCGAATGTTCGCAGTATGGGGTGTCGAAGCCCCCTGGAAACCAGTTACTCGTCGTTCTCAGGGAAAGAGAAAAGGTGGTGGGAAAGGTATATATCCTTCACATTAGTTCATTTGTTCATACGCATCATTTCTTCATCGTCATTAAAGTAATCGGTTAAAATCATTCTCACTTTAATTTAATGTCAGTCAAGTAGCTGAAATAAGGATTCACCTTACAGTCTCAAACAACCTAAGACCAAACACAGTTATGCATCGATTTTACCCAGTTCATAAACTGTAAAGCTGGTACTAATCAACATAAAAAATTAGAAATACTACTGCAACTATATCAAGCTCTCACAAAAAAAAGCTGAAGTAAAAGGCGTAATATGAGGTATTCGACAGAAACATTTTGAGTTTTTTTAATGGACCTGAGAATGTTTTTACTAGTTCTTACATTGCCTGTGACTGACTAATATTATCTGAGGTTATCAACTTATAATCTCGAATTTCATACAGATCTCACGCACATTGATTACAGTCTACCACTTGATTCAAATCAATATTTTCGTGAATCGATTGAATTTTTACTGACCTAAGTTAAGGTATATTCCCTTCCTGCTCTCATCACACTCAAGGTACAATATTATGAAGATTGAGTGTGTATGTGTAACACGTGTCCGAACCATTATCTTTGCTTATTAAAGTAGTGATACTTTTAAACACGAATCGAATACAAATGGCCTTTACTTGTCATCCATGTTTATTAATTGTGATTAAATGTTATATACTGGAACCAAAAGCATTTAATACTCAATATTCCCCTTCTTTACTATATATTTGAGCGACTCATCTACTCTATAGGGTGTCCAAATCGATAAAATTCTTTTGTAGAATCTAAGCGGTAGTAGTCATTGTTACGAAGTGAATCAACATTTCACGTCAGCCAGAAATTATTTCTTGGTTGTTGGTCTGTATGTTAACCAACTGGATGTCAAACGTCACGATGCATCGTCGCTTGTAAACATATGTTCGTCTGGGAAAATATTGAAGTTTTGAACAGAAAATGCAAAGGAGATCAAAGAATTTTTAGAAGCTTAAGACCCAAGTCAGTCAACGATCAATGAACATATTAAAATCGACCCAGTTTCCCAACCAGTTGGAAAAATTATGGACCACTATAAGATCAAAAACCAGATCAAAGAAGAAGATATCTAAGATGAGTACGCAGATAATGACATGAAAAGAGTTAATAATAGTTAATTGAGGTCAGCCGAACAAGCTGTTAGTCATGTATAAAGAGGTTCGGATCGGTCGCTTTTATTCCAAGTGCTAATGGCGCTGCCCGAAAAGACGTTAAATGTTCCATAGCTAAGCAGTCTAGCTCAGAAAACAAGAAAAATTATCCATCTGAGTTGCAAATCTTCACCTCAGTATCACTAGTCGTTGTACCTCGAAACTGAATATTTAAACCTGTATTTATTAAATGAGTTACACTAGAAATTGGTTACGATATTTGTCTTTTATTTTATCTTCAGTTTGTTACAGACTCATATTTTCTCATCGTGTTTAGAACATTTATAATTATTTTAGCAATTTTTCCTGCGGTATTATCAGTTTCAAGGTACTTTTTAGGATATAAATACACTAAATAAGATGAATTTTTAAATTACTATTTTTCATACCATTGTTGTTTCGAATGACTTATCACTTTCAGGTTTTCTGAAACATCTGAATTTTACTTAACTAATAAAGAAACCGACTGCATCATTGATAAAAAGAATTCATGACAATTCATGAAAGTTTCTTTCCCACGATATCACTAAAACCATGCAATCATATTCACGCTTATTTAATATGGTTTTAGTAAGTCATATAATGGGAAAGAAACCTTCCATGAGTTGTCTTTATTTTTCCATGAATTCTGTTTAACGAGACTAAAAGCATATTCTTCATTATTCGAAAACGTTTTGGAAGATGATATGCTAATTTTTAAGTAAAATTTTGAGTTAATTATGTTATACTTGTTGAATATTTTTTCATTCATTTACTAGCTAATATACATCACTACTCTACTCCAGTCAAAGCTGAAAGGATTATAGTTGAACTTGGAGGTTATCTGAACTGGAGAGAAGCTTATCGTATTTTGGTGCGTGCTGCTGATAAGTTACCATTCCGAGCTAGATTTATTTCCCAAGAACTTTTAGATACAGAATCTCAAATAGAGGCGTACATTAAAGAAAAAAATGTAAACCCGTTTTCTGAACCAGGTTATGCATTAGCTCACAACTATGCAGGTTGTCGAAGCTTCATCAGTCCATACTATTTGGATTGGGGTACAATTAGGTATCACTGATTCGCCCATGTATATATAAAATTTGTTGGATTTACTCGTAAATAATGCTGTTGTTTACCTTAAACATCATTGAATTAAGAAGTCTTTAGTTGTTATGCATCCAGTTTTGTACATAAATTAATCTTTGTATCAATATTTATTGTACAGTAAACCTAATCTTATTTAAAGAAATACATAGTAGTTTCGAAATCGATTTTATTCTACTGTTTTAAATCACTAATTGTTGTTGTATTTAAAAGTGGGGGTCAAAAAATGCATTTATTTGGTTCTTATTCTTATTTAATTGTATCGTATGTGATTTACGAGACATTTTAAACTCTATATATTGGATAGCATGTCATCTAAATTTATGAAGCTTACTTTTATCCTTGTTATGTACTTGAGTAATTTGCAATCCTCTGATAAAAATATTTCAACGAAAAATTTATAATCTCCAAATGTTGGGAGGATTTGTAAACAATTTTTTTGTAGCGAAAGCAACTTTCTAGGTAGCAAGTTGTTGTCTACCATCAATCTTACGACTAAAAATTTTAAAATCTAGTTCTGATTTTGAAAGTGAGAAGAATGTTCGTTCACAGGAAATCAACTCGAATTTATAGGTTCGCTCACTAAATACATTCATAAACAAAGGAAAATATGTAAGTCTCTCCCAACTGATTTCTGGAGACCTAGCTATCTACTGGTTACGCGCCTAAAAATCACTTGTCCGTATATTCTGCGGTCGAAATTTGCATCTTCATAACACGTTCGAGACTAGCTTATAGTTGATATATGATCTCTATAAACATATTCTTATGTATTTGAGAAAATTCTTGCTGAACATCATTATGGTGAAAAAAGAATATGCTCTTGTAGTCGACTAAATTTTCCTCATCGAAACATCCAGGAATCTGCAACAAACCGAAGAGACTACCATAAAAGAGTTTTAAGAATAAGCTATCTAGTAAGGCGATTATGTTTGTTGAAAGTATGAGACCATTTCCTGTAGTTTATGTATAGTATTACCCAATTAATTTTTTATTTTCTAACCTGCCTAACTCTGATTTAAATAGTTGATATACAGTCTCTCCAATTTATGACTTAAGTCTGTTAAATGTACGATCCTAACCGTTCTTAGTAACCTCAGATTAAATGTACGTGACAACTTGAACTCAGATGAATGGCATGAAGTGCTAAACTAAAGACCAGTGACGAAGATTTACTTGACTCTCAATACAAAGCAAAAATGATTTAAGAATGCATTACTTCATAATTTATTAGCAGTTAAAATGACAGTCAGATTTGTGAGGATTAAACTGATTTCTATTTGATAATCATAATTCAGTAACTTATTATTTGAAACAGATTTACTATGTTATAGAAATAAGCATCCATAGTCCTTAAGATGGGAATAAGTGTCACACACGATTGGAAAAGTCAGTTTCATATGTCATTCGTACTCTAGTTAATTAAGCTATTACTTGCCTTATCAGTAGCCTCATCCCTTTTCCTTAGAGGCTTATCAGCAATGAATGGTTTATGGTGTCAGTCCAGTTGAGGGTTTGTTCCATTAATATAGTTAACCTCTACATTACTTGGTCACGTATTTTTAGTGTACTTGATTGACTACTTTTTTTCAAATGATAGATATATACTTCGTATTAACTGGCGAACTAAATCGACAATCGCAGTACTTCACATAGCTCTAAGTCAGTGTAGAAAGACCCGTTCTACGTTATAAATATAAGCAGCTTGAACATATCAATATATCTCAGCGAGATTAACTGAGTTAATTAAGCCATTAGCATTATTTATGTCGTGTAAAACTTAGTCACTAAATGTAAATTCAAAATGAAAGAGCCATACTTTAATCAACCAAGATATGCCTTCTTGATTGTAATCATTTCATTCAGTTTATTTTTAACTGCAATCACGGCACACAAACGGTATCAGAAAAAAACAGACATTTTCCTTACTTGTAGACAATGTACGCTGGCAAGATCAAGTATTAAAAAATGAAATATGTTGAATTTTTTAACTTCTGAGTGATGGTTAGTATGTGTTGAAGATAAATTTCAACGATAAAATTAAAAATTGTTTGCGTTTACTTTTATCACAGACACAATATTCAGTTTGAAAAATAACACGTTTGAAAATAATTCGTTAAAATGGATTTTTCCGTTATTGTTATAGACTGCGACTGATCAGTCTCTTTTGGTATATGTGCATCTTATGTCAATAAATTCTATATTACCCGTAGGTCATAAAGATTTAAGTCGATTTCTTCTGTAAACATTAACATTGCAGTGCAGGCATATCCAGTTAAATAGGACTGAACACCCGTTCTGGATTCAACTGCAAGCCACCATCCATCTCATTTGAAGACTATAATAGGTTTTTATAAAGTATGTAAAGCATCAGATTAGATTCCGTCATAAAAGCATTAGTTTATAAGACTAAGACAACATAAATACGATTTCAAAGGATAAGAGATATGTCTACTGGAAGTTGATGATGGAAGATGATATCAATAAAGATTAATAACGAAAGGTACAGATTTCAAATCATGAATAAATTTTAATTTAGTGTAAAAATTACCAATAATTTATCACATTTTAGCTTTAGAAGTCCAGCAAAATATTTTGATAATGGTGATGCTGAAAAAATAGGGTATAAATATAACACCATAAAAAGATAATTAAGAAAAGGGCGTTTTCGAAGTTAAAAGATATCAGGTTGAATCAAACTTTTGATTTCAAGTATAATAAACTGAAATTTCCGATGTGATACTTTTTGCTGGTGCAACAGATATTTCTGTTTGTTGTCAAAAGACAAGGATTCATGCTGAATAGACGCACAGGTTAAACTTTAATTTGAGGACGACCTTTGAACGATGCCAAAGTGACCTTGGTAATACCTATCTACTTACTAAGGTTATAAAAATTAGTGTGAAGAATTAGGAATAAGATTAAGAGCTGTATCAGGGGTTAAATTAGAGAGTTTTCATCACCAACTGGCATCAGCTATAATGCCAAAATGTTGTTTAACCAAGCGGATGAATAAATTTCGTACCAAGATCCAAAACGTGCCATCTCAAACGTGATTAGTTCATCCATGAATTATAGTCCCACCGATGCAGACTAGATTGCAAAGTGGCGCAAATCTTTTTTGCGGCATCAAAGGAAGAATTTACCAACAGACTTTGGTCAATATTTAAAGCGTTCATCTTGGATATGCTACTATTATTCGGATGGCTCCCAGAATCCTACAAAAGCTCCCAAGAAGCCGAAACGCTTTGACCCAACCACGGGTCGATAGCTGTGGCATAAGGTGATTGAATGATGATGTAGCATCGCTAATTGCGAATTGGATGATTTTAATGATTGACAGTTTCTACGAATCTAATATGTTCAAAATATTGATGGCACAGTCGCGAGGGAAGTTAGTAATTGTTCTTTTTTAATAAAGTTACAGACCTAACTCTTTTTACATCTTCTATCAATCAAGTTTACCATGAAAGCATCAATTATTTTGTTTTACAAAGCGCACGCTAAACTAACTTACTTAATATCAGATCAGTTTGTGCAAGTCATGGGACAGTTTTTAGTCAGTATATTATATAAAAATATACATTCTTTATTCTTGAGTGATTATTATTTATCTATTAATTGAGAACATAAGTAGTGATGTCGTTAACTAAAGTTTGAACACTGATACGAAGTTCAGGGGCACTCACTTTTCTTACAGAAAAACTGAAGCTCCATGAAACTTACATTTTTATTCTTTTTCTTATCACAGATAACTAAGAATTTGTCTTCATATGCCGAAAATCTAAACTTCTATGAGTATTCCGTAAAAACAAGACATCATAACCGTATTTTAGGTATCTTTAAATGTACTTAAGTATGTTGATATCTATTCGAATGCTTTTCGAAATATGTGTATATATTAAGCACAACGCTCAATGTTATTGAATATATGACAAAAATATCCCCACCTTTACAAAAGCTGCAATTTACTAAGTGTTGTTAGGAATAGCCTAAGATGACTGTTCCTTCATTGCACTACTACTATTGCTGCTACCACTGTCACATTACTATATGTTGACTGAATGAATTTATAGCCCAATTGAAATAAAATGAAATACCTACAATACAGTTTAACACAATTTTAAATGAATTCCAAATAAATAAAAAAGAGTAAGGAAAAAATGCTCTACTCTCATTAGATTGTTTTAACCTTAAACACAATTGTTAACAAAAAGTTGGTCATCTTTACAAAATTCTTGCTAATTTAGGTCATGTATTGTTAACTTTGACAAAATGGATAATAGTTATTTTACAATTTTTTTTGTCTTCATCTTGAATATTGCAATAAGTTGTCATGACAACCAATGTGTACTATTTAATAAATAATAAAATAAATTCACTTAACAATTACGACAATACTACAGCTAGTAATACTTTCTTATCTGTGATAAAGAATTCTTTTACAATTATTACAAATAAAAGCACTAAAAAGATGCGAAAATATTTTTTTTTTGAAAATACACACTTTGTAATAACAATTTATCAGATATAAATTAACATTAGAAAACTTTTCAACAAGTTAAACATGCATTTTCTATATGTTTTATTTATAAGATAATTTATTGAAATGTTTTTTTTTAAATCGGCAAACGATAGTTGTGTATCATTTTTTTAACACTTAAATCAAATGTGATTTAAGTAAAATGAATTCTCCAAGGTTCCAAATTATTTTTATGATAGTCCGATTTAATACTAGAGAACTAATAGATTTTATAAATTGGTTAATTAAAAATAATGTTTAAAACTAGTAAAGTTTCATTCCTATTGCTAAGAAGTTCAATAAAATTTGTCTGTTAGTTTACAGAAGACATGTCAAATAGTGAGCTTCAAAACTTTACTCATAATTCACTTACTTTACATTTTCAATTTTTCAGTGAGCTTGTGAAATAGGTGTGATACACATTTATTATCATCAGTAAATTAACGTATCACTGTCAGTGTTCATGACTTCACAGAGTGTGTCCATCATCATAACTTTTGTGAATTGAGTTATTCGTGAATCAACATATACTTATGTTAGTTTTAAAGAGACGTTGTAACATTTGTAAGTAATGTGTATTACAAACTTTTGTGCGTTGTAAAAAATCTCTAAAATCTTCATAAAACCAATTACATGACTGGTATCTAGACTTGCGCTTTAGAGACAAAAGGTTTAAAATTCGTACACTGTCATTTTCTGGTATACTTCTGTGGTTTCTTGAATCAGTCTTTTGAAACTCCCGACATCACTTCGTTGGATATTTGGTTTCAAGAGTTTTTTTACTCTGTGAGAAAACCTGTTTGCTATTTAAATTCCACCCTTAAACCCACCTGTCGTGTTGTCTCAGTTGTCATGACCTAGATGGAAGAAAAATAGAGGATATTTCTCGTCCAAAGTCATTTTTTAGTATCGTGTTCAGTTTAATGAGATCGTTTTTTAATCAATGGTACAACTGAATGAAATCCCCTAACTTTTAAAAATGCTTGTTCTAAGAAGAGCCACGCACTTCCGGAATCTCACAGATAGCAGAGAATTTTTATACTATGCTTTGTTAAGAAATGTTTCATATGTATGGCAATTTATTAACAGACAAAGTGTCTAATAAATACAACTTTCTTTTAATCTCTGACTTTTGTACACAATTCATGACATAGTGCAACATCAGGCTTCTAGTTATTTAACATCATTCTATTTTACTACAGACAACAATTTTTAGCAAGTGAAATCAATTGTCAATACAAGTGTACAGCATAAATCAATGAAAGCATCAAGGAGAAAATCTGCCTCACTAAACTATCTCTAATTTTCATCAAAGACACTATGCTTCTCTGTTGTTATTTAAATCATGTTTGTTCAAGAATACAACAAAATGTATTTTTGTCAATACACGTGAATAAATTAACTTATTCACGAATCAACACTGAGTAAATTATTTTCATGATAAGTGAGAAATTTATCTGTATAGTAGTCAAAGTGGTACTATATCTCTGACAATAAAAACATAAAACATTCGAGACAATTTTCTTGTTAACTTTTTTCATCATACATAGATCTGAAACAATTAATACTAGTAATCAAAGTGTATAATTTATGACTGATCAAACTATGAATTACTCTTTATAGATCTTTGGCTGGCAGTCAAACAGTTTGTATATACAAGCCGATAGACTTATGAGAATTAGTTACACAACTGATAATAGAATCATTAAATTCATTTTATGAGCATTTTGTTTACTCACTAACTTACTTACATACTGGTTTACTTACTTACTTACTTACTTACATACTTACTTACTTACTTACTTACTTGCTTGCTTACTTACTTACTTACTTACTTACTTACTTATGCACTTACTTACTTACTTACTTACTTACTTACTTACTTACTTACTTACTTACTACTTATGCACTTACTTACTTACTTACTTACTTACTTACTTACTTACTTACTTGCTTACTTACTTACCTGCTTAATTACTTACTTACTTACTTACTTACTTACTTACTTACTTACTTGCTTACTTACTGTCTTACTTACTTACTTACTTACTTACTTACTTACTTACTTACTTACTTACTTACTTACTTACTTACTTACTTACTTACTTACTTACTTACTTACTTACTTACTTACTTACTTACTTACTTACTTACTTACTACTTACTTACTACTTACTTACTTACTTACTTACCTTACTTACTTACTTACTTACTACTTTACTTACTTACTTACTTACTTACTTACTTACTTACTTACTTACTTACTTACTTACTTACTTACTTACTTACTTACTTACTTACTTACTTACTTACTTACTTACTTATACTTACTTACTTACTTACTTACTTACTTACTTACTTACTTACTTATCTTACTTACTTACTTACTTACTTACTTACTTACTTACTTACTTACTTACTTACTTACTTACTTACTTACTTACTTACTTACTTACTTACGCCTGTTACTCCTAATGGAGCAAAGGCCGCGGAGTATTTTGTTTATCTTTCTTATAATTTAAACTAATTTTCCTTTTCAGTCATTGTTTATTACTGAATATATATTATTAGTTAGTTAGTTTAATACCTCTTGATATTATTTCAGAATTATGCTTTCATTCATCTGTCCTTGTTTTATTACTTTTAAATGTATTTGTGGTTATTTTGTTCAGTGTTAAATATTCTTCTTATTGTTTTAGAACAATGGAATGTTCATTATTTTATTGTTTAGTAATAATTACATATGGTATTCTTAGGCTAATGTGTATAGTGTGAACAATAGAAAAGACAATCGAATTTTAATTTGACAAATGTTCTGTTTCCAATTTCTTGTTTGTTGTTTTCTTTTCATCATAAAATTCATTCAATGGAATCAAACAATGATTGGTTCATTTATTATATTAGTTTATTTATTGGTTAAATTATTATATAAATTCAGAAAATATTGTAATATCATTTTAATTAAAAATAATTTATCACGTACTGGAAATTTCAATAGATCCATACTAATTTCTTGTTTGACAATAAAAATAATTCCTCTTTTTCAAAAGGTAAATTTAAACAGAATAAATTTTTTTGTATTTGTATACTTAATGTATTTTAGTTGATATGTAAAATTCTTTTTTTTATATTCTGATTTGTTATTTTCAGATGTATTCGTTAAGAAGTTCCTTGTTAATTCTCGGCTTATTTGGTCATATTGTATATGTTAAGTCACAATCAAATTGTACCCTTGATAATCTTTACAGCTGTTGCAGTATTGAAGGGGGAACAAATGCAAGAACTTGTAAGTAATTTTATTGACAGGTAACCATATTGTACACAAATATTTATAAATATACATATATGCCATTACCGTTTAGCAACTAGTATTCAGTGGATGAAGTTTTGTAATATGACAATCACATAACCTAACACAATTACAGTGTTGCATAAATTAGATTTATTTCAAACTGAACATTTCATAAAATAATAGATATATTTGAGATTTACCGAATAATAATAATAATAATAATAATAATACAATCTGAAGTTTTATAACGTTTTACAACTTAATGTGAACTGATTCCTTAGAATAAAGATTTATGCTTAAATTTCAATTGCTAAATTCATTTCCATAATCTATGATTGTTATTAAGAAATTTTTCAATAGTCGTTCTTACTCAAAATCAAGGTAAAGTACTGTTAAGTCATTTAATTGTAAAGAGTTAACATTAGATTAATAAATTTGTACCGTTATTCTGTTATCATTTATTATCATACACATTTATTTTATATTATTCAAACGATTTATTGTAATGAAAGTAATTTAATGCAGCGGGTGTACACTTCAGGTGAGTTCTATAATAGAACAAGATAGTTGTATAGTGGTGCTACCTGATTTTCGGCTGTGCCCAAACTAATGTCAACCTGTGGTAAATACTGTCTTACAATTAAAAAAAAATGTTTTAAACTAGATTTGGTTCATTTTTTGGGAGTTGATAAATTAGGTATACCTAAGAAATTACACATTGCCTTCTAAACTCTTAAGTTCCCAAGAAAAAGTACCCAGAAATGCTGTAGTTCGATTTTATCTCCTTTTTTGCTATTTCCGTCACATTTTAGCGCACATCGTTTTGGGTAAAATTTCTAGAAGAATTAAAGATGGAATAGATTTTTATAAAATCATTTTGATTTATCATGTCTCAAATAAATGTTAAAACAGTGTTGTAAATATTTTTAATTTCCAAGGTATTTCTCATTGAACTGATGCTTTATTCTACTTCAAAATAATTTAACATATTTTCGTTTAAGATAATACTAATTATTAGGTTTTGTTAAAAGAATTATTTATTAAGATTTCCTAAATAATTACATTTTAGAATGGATAAGATAGTCATCTGATTTATGACTTGATAGTATTTTTAATGAAAATTATTTTTGCTAGTCATCACAGTAGCATGCGTAAACTAATCTCCATCTTAAGCTTTTTCCCTATTTTATCATTCTTATTCATAGTATTATTTGAAGATGAGACTTGTACAAAGTTGTCAATCATCAGAACTTAAGTGTATCACTGGGTCCTACAGAAATAACAAGTCAAATTTTTCAGATATCTTAGAAAGGCATGTAGGTTTGAAATATCTCTACAAAAGTTCCAACCATCGGAATATTTAAAATCTAGTTGCTTTTTAGCGAAATCACGATTTTCATTCACTTTCATCCATCATTTCTGAAAAGGTTGGCTCACAGTAAAATTTCTTTTCACTAGTAATTGTTAAAAAAATGCTTAATCTCATTAAATAAATTGTCTGACCACTCTTTTCATAACTTTTAAAATAGACTTTATTTCCATAGCTAAAAATCTAATGAATGATAATTGTTAAAGTTTTTATTGGATTTAATCTCACCATCTCATGAATGCTTTGTTATATTATTTAGTTACTGAATCCTAAACTATATCATGTTCTAATAACATACAATGATCAATTTATGGTCTGTAGTTTCTTAATTTCCCTAACATTGAATTATTGTAACTATTGAAAGCTCAAGTGAAAAAAGTGCTTGATATGAGCTGATAAACTTGGTTGTTTTAGTATTCTGCTATTTTATTTAAATAATGTTTATATTTCATTATTGTCTCATTATTACATACGGTTCGTTCTTCTTTATATATAAATATATGGAAAGCACCAGTTTGGTAAAAGATAATTTAAGTGAGACTCTATCTTGATGAACTATCTTTATTTAAAAATGTTTCAACAATTTACTTAAACAGAAATGTTTCCCTGTTTGTTTGTTTTTACTTTTCAATATTATTTTTATAGTTCTTCGAAACCAACCTAAAGGAATTAATTCACAACAAGTTGTTAAATATTATACGGATTTGTGCAAGTTTCGTACGCTGTATGAAAAAGCAGCATTTATTCAAGCACAATATGAGAAACTTTCAACGGTTGATTTAAGCACCATGTTTACTACACCTAAACCTCCTACTACTCCAACTAGACCGACTACTACACGTAAATCTACAATACCTCCACCGAAAACTTCACCGAAGTCTAATATTCAACCAATGAGACCAATTCAAACATCAATGACGAATAGTACTCGAGCTCCATAAAAAAAGTGTTTAGATATTCAGTGAAAATAAATTCTTTTCATACGAATAATAATAATAAGACAAAACAAAAACTTTATTCTTATTTTCGTAGCAATGTAGACAGCTGATTGATTAATAAATAATTAAAATATATAAATTAAAAAAAAATTTATATTCTTCCTTATTTATAAATTTACAAATTGTTTTTGTGTAATTAGCATATATATATCTAAGTTTTAATTGCTTATTAATAAAGCAATGTCTGAAGTGAGCAGGTTAACTACTGTTTTAGAGTGCGAATATCTTAACCACGAAAGTGCAGTGAAATATGTATGTAAAAAAAATTTCTACGCATTAAACAAATTAAATCAGTCACAACGTTTTATATGAATGAATCACTGTTCTCCTGAGCTTTATCAGTTCCAGTTTGTTTAGAATGATTTCAAGGTTCGATAATATTTGCTTTTCTTTAAAAAAACAAATTAATTTTTAATATGTACGACATTTTATGTAAGAAAATGTAATTTCATTTTAACAGTATTTACATTTGAAAATCGAAATTCTAATGTAATTGTAATTTTTTAATCGACCATATATACATATATGTATATGAATAATTATAATATCTAAATTAAAAAAAGACCACCATTTAATTTTGAACAGCATTTTCAATCAAGTAAAAAAAGTAACAAAAGTCATAACACAGTTTAAAAGGCTGCTTGAATTATAGAAAAAAGACCAAATCTTTAGTCTAAAATCGATAATTATGAATAAATAATCCATGATAAAAAATAATCACTTAATCAAATGTTTCATAACGAAAGATAATAAATATTTTTAGTTAAATGATTAAGATAAACTGTTTCTAGATTAAAAGCTGTAAAAAATAAATTTCTGTTAGAAAGTGTATTTTATTTCACAAAAATTACTAAATCGTTCATTCGTCTAAAAGCCATTATATCTGCAACATAATCTATCATGATCATCTGTAGTAATATGTACTAAATATTCCAATTTAAGAAAAGTTATATTGCATCGGTAATGTTCACAAAAATATTCATTTTTAAGAAAGAAACATACAGTATTTTATTTTTACTGCAAACGACAAATTATTCCCAAGTAAACTGCTTGTAAATATGTCACTCTTGTGAATGATTGCGAATAGACATATACTTCATAGTAAATATTGATGAAATATTTCAAAGTGCTAGACAAAGTTAATAAAAACACAAACGGATGGAGGCTAGCCAACAGACATGGTTAACTGTGATTGCTATAAATGTGATGTCTCGTCATTTATTCTACCAAACTAGATATCACAGGAAACACAACTTAAAACAAACTTCTGCTGAAATACTAACACTTTAATGATAATGGCTTGATTAAAAATTATAAGTTAGATATAAAATGGAATTTTCAGCATGGAATATTTCAGTAAGCTTCCTTTACAAAACTAATAGTGAGTGGGAGTTGGAGGTAAGCAGTTCAAGAATCGATATCTTATTAACATTTATTCTTTCCTCAGCAGATTGCCAGGATTGTAATTTCTCGAATCATGTGAGGTGATAAGTTGTAATTTTTGTATGTACGCGTCTAAATAGATTGTCTCAAAATAGGTAACTTGCTACAATATTTTGGTGCTGTGAAACAAGTAGCTCAGATATTCAAGCAGACTGATTATAAAACTCACATCTAAACATCTACTAAATAATATGCAGCTTTTTATCTTCAAATAAACTATCGTTCTGTTTATTCATTCAAATTATTTTTATGATATATGAATGATGATAATTTTAATAAGTTTCATTGTCTGATGCATTAAAAGAACTACCTTTTATTATCTTCGATACAATCTAAGTCAAATAACTCTATTGACTGCGGGAAGTTTATGAGCTTAAAATAATCAACGAATTATGTTATTCACTTATGGAAATAATTGAGTATTCAAACATCGTACGAGCTTCATTACACCTTATACTAGCTTTGTGAAATGGCGTACTATTGAATATCATCTCTTACTTAATAATGGTAGTTTGACTATAATCCGTTGTCCCCGGCTCGGCTAACTATATCACGAAGTCTTGATAAGGCGTAGAAAGTGTATTCTATAAGCACCCAGAAATACAAGGTCGACAAGCAGACAAATCAAGCTTATATATACATGGTAGAAACGTCCTTGGGAAAGCCACAAAAGTAGAGCACCAAAATAATTCATCAACCAATGACAGTCAATCATTTTCCGAGTTAGGAATGTAAGCTGAAGGTCAACTAAGCAGCTTATGCGCGAAAACTTAAAAAATCCAAAATTAGGACCTTTTCCAAGTGAGTTCTGAAGATCTAATGTGTTACGCCTGCACGTAAGCACGTCAACTTGATGTACTTGAACTATTACGAGTTCACCTAGTCGGAAAACTAGAGGGAGGATCGATGATCCGGCGATACGACATACTACTCAAATCCGATTATCCCAACCCCACATTGAGTAAAAATAAGAAGACTTGATATGAAGTAAAACCTGTAACCTACAAGCATTCAGAAAATACTAGGTCTGAGTCCAGAAGAGAATCAGGATCCCGCACTACAGATCCGGGACCGGGTCCTGGTCCTGGTCATAAAACGTTACAGATTATGCGTATTTTTACATTTTGGTCGAATAGGAAACAGCTTCGAAGTCTGATATTGACAGTTAAGATGACCAATAGGAAGCAACATTTGAAGTGACATTGATAGTCAGGACAACCATTAAGAAACAACATTGGAGCACGTGACATGATATCTAGGACGACCATAAAATTGACCAGTAGGAATTAACCAATGAGAATAGACCAGTAATTCTCTTAGGATATTGGATGAACATCCTAACATAAAGGCCCCAACAGATTGGTTTTTCTGAACGTTATTGTTGTCAGTAGTTACCATTAAATTTTTATTATTAACAAAGGGGTTAAGTAAATAAACTTCTAAATACGTATCTAGTCATCATAAATTTCTCAATATATTTTCTCGATTTATTATTTTATAATTCCAATTTATTCGTTAAACAAAACCCAGAAAATCATCTAAAACTCATTCATATGTTTTTCATCCAAAAACAGTTAAATATTTTGTTAGACACTTGGAATTCACCGAAAATTCTAAATCTAGATCATTTTGATAATTGCGAACAAGAAAACAGCTCGCAAAACAATTTCAACCAACTGATTTCAGTAGTTAAGGGCAATAGATATTTTCATCTCAATCGTGACATACACATTCTATGCTGTAATGAACTTCAACAAATGAGATCAAAATAAATTCGACTATCTATTTAAAAACTCATTTCATCAATCAAACTTGAACTGTAGCTTTCTTGCGAGTTACAGCATTACTTCGTTTCAGTTATTCAATAACACTTACGACCTAATCCATGTATCAACTCTTTAACATGAATAGTTTGTATAGCTTTAAGGTGACTGGATTTTCACAAATTTTAACTATACTGTCTATCAAGAAGAGAATAAAATATATTCAGATAGAGCAGCACATCTGTCAAACGATAAGGATTAATGAATGTGATATATAATAGTTGATTAAGTTAGAAGTATATATAAGTAACTCAACATACATGATGTAATATCAAAATTGTACGAGTACTTAACTGAGCACACCTCATCTGCTTTATCTAATGAAAACGAAACAGATCAGCATAAATCTTCAGATATTTAAAGAACTACTAATTTTCAGAAATAATTTATGCCAGAATTTCCTAAATAAATGCTAAACAAATTTATCTGCGGTTTTTATCACCAGAATTAAATCTAACCAAGAGATGAAGTACTTTAACTAACTGTGCAATGATTCTAGTATGAATGTTTCAATTTAATCTGACTTATTGAGCCACCTTATCAATCCATGTTCTATAATTATTCTTTCGAATTCAAATCTATAAATTATCAATAAAGTTTTGGAATACACTATAATTAATAAAATACCAATACATTTGTGTACATAGTAAATGCTTGAACCAGATTTCTTTCTAGGAATGTATTAGTCAAAAAAATATCAATAATTTTTATTCAGTGGTCATTGAAATAGAGTATTGAACTCCAGAATTGATCATGTTCATCTCTGTAGATTAACCGTTAATGATTTTTTTACTTTTCAAATTTTACAACCTTCTAATTTATACTTTTCTTGATAAAACTTATGATGCTATATTTCACATAATAGCAAGCATCTAACTACTACTTTTAAGAGACTCGTAGATCAGTCTTTAGAGTTACCTTAGATTCTGTCACATATTCCCTAAAAAACGTCATACATGTTTAATAAAGGTCGATTTCACTGAAATCTATAGGAATGTAATCAAATAAATTAACTGATCAAAGGAGAATAGTCAGCTTATTTTGATTCAGCTCATAATGTTCCTTTTCAAAAATAAAGTATTGTTAGCGTTATCAAGAATGTATTGTCATAGTGCACTTCATATGATAAGAAGGCTGGATTTCAACAACCCTTGTTCTACTTTTTTACACCAGACACGTTAATAACCAACTTTAACCTACTACTTTTTATAGAATTATCAACATTTCATCCTAGTTTACATGCCTTAATTAAAATCTCAACTTTGTAGTTGTTATTTACATCAAGAAGTGTGATCAGTAGTGCTGACTGATAATCAAAGTTTTCACAGTTAGAGATGAAAAAGAAAATAGTTTACCGTAATTTGTGATTAAATAACAGTCTACTTTATTTTATTAAGTAGTATAACGTAAAAACAGGTTTTTCACAACATGGTGTATTTTGAAGACTTTGTTCTCACACGACAACCACGATGTTTGTATAATGATAGAGAAGATTTAAAAATGAGATTCTAAAGACTGTTGTAAATGGAGGTAAAAGAAATTGTATCTATAAACAGTGAATAAATCTAAATCTAAATAAAATTTTACTTCAAGTTTAATAAAATCATAATCTAGTGAATCTCTTAGTAGTACTTTTACCAGGTGTACGATAAATATTCAAATTATTTTTATTAGATTGAAATACCTTTGTTGATACACAGGCTATCTGGACGGTCTGATCGATTCATGTTATAGATAGTGCTTGAGTTAACTCTTTTTACAGGTCATTTGCTTAATTTTCGATTACATTACAATTCAAATAGATTTCGATAATTTTAAATTACCAATTACTAGAATGATTATTATTTTTGTTTAATACTTTTCAGAGTTTATTTGTGAAACGGGAAATGTCTCATTATTATTCATTCTTCAGGGAGTCAATGAGTAATAAATCAATATTTCGGATTCGTAACATACCAGATATAATCTATACATCGGCTTATCTGCACAACTCCATGTGAGATTCTTTAAAATTGCTCAATAAATTCAGTGGACTTTTACACCATTACTAATGGTGTAATGTTTGATGATTCTATTTCGAATTTTTTATGATACTGGAATCGATTGTGGAACAATCAATTCAATGGAATTCACCACTGTACATAAGCTTCACTGACTATGAGAAAGCATTTTACAGCATGGACAGCATGACACTATTGAGGCTACTTCCCTAGTATGGTGTGCCTAGGAAGATATTCAGCATTACACGGAATTATTATGATGGATTAAAATGCGAAATTGTGCACCGAGTACAGCTCACAGACTCGTTCCAAATGAAAACCGGTGTTAAGCAAGGTTGCTTACACTCACCCCATTTCTTTCTCCTGGTGATTGAGTGAATCATGAAAACCTCGATATTTCAGTGGAAGTAGGAGATAGAGTGAACAGCTAGGATGTAGCTAGACGATTTATACTTCGTAGATGATCTACCCATTCTGTCCCACAAACAACAACTGCAAGAGAAGATGATCAGTGTGGCTGAAGTCTCTGTAAGAGTAGGTCTCAACTACGAAAGGGAAGTAACAAGACCTTCGATACAGTACAACATGCACCAACCAAATCACACTTGATGGAGAAGCTTTGGAGTATATAAAAAGCTTTATATACCTAGGCAGCATCATTTATGAACACGGTGGATCTTGTTCAGATGTAAATACACGGATTAGCAAAACAAGGGCAACATTTTTACATTCGAAGAATATTTGAAACAAAACAACTGTCAACCAACACAAAAGTTTAAATTTTTTAACACAAACATCCAAACAGTTCCATTGTATTGAGAGGAAACTTGAAGAACTACCAAAAGCACCATCCCAACTATACAGGCTTGTGATAACAGATGTTTACGCAAGAAACCATCATCAACAACCTACTGTGGGAGAGAATAAATGAGATTTCAGTTGAGGAAGAAATTGGGAAGAAGCGCTAGAAATGGATTGGACACACATTGAAGAAAACACCTAAATGCGTCAAAAGATAAGCCCTCACATGGAATCCTCGAGGCCAACGGAAAAAAAGAAGACTAAAGAACACATTATGCCGAGAATTGGAGACAAACATGAAAAGAATGGATAACAATTGGATAGAACCAGAAAGGAATGTTCAGGACAGAGTAGCTTGGCGAACGTTGGTCGGTGACCTATGCTCCCCTGGGTTGAGAGGGGTAAGTAAGTAAGTAGGTAAAAAGAAGTTAACTTTATAGTAGATTTAATACAATTATGCAGATGCTGTATGTCAATAGACTGCTATTAATGTGTATGTTATAAATCATTCATATAATAGTATATTGGAAAGTATATACATTAAATTAAGAAAATATCTGTAATGAATAATCGTTTGCAATGTCTCAGGTGAATCCACTTTCTATGTTCTCTAAAATTCTTATCTGAAATACTCATCACTTCTGTCTCTCTCTTTCTAAAGTTATCTCACTGAATTATACTTCTCAAATCATATTTTCGAACCCTAATCTTCTCCATCACCGCCAATACTCCTACTATCTCTATCACTATGGAATTTGATTTGACAGTTGCGTGTGTGTGCTGATAAGGTATGACAACCAGAACTGATGTACGTACGTAGGAAGTTCTAACTTGTAACTGACTCACTCAATAGACATATCTAAGTAAGATGAGGCTACATGAATTCCGTCAGATAAACAACAGCATGTAATTACTGAATAAATTTTAATTGCACTGACGGATAGCTTTATACAATGAAAAACTTCTAATCCTCATTTACCATATAACACTCTTCAGTTTGATAATAATTTTCTGAACAAACCAACATAAGCTGGCAAACTTAAGAAAAGAAGGAAGGATGTGAGTAGCCGCCCCATGCTGGTTAAAACCTCTTCATTAGTACACACCCATAAATCTACATATCAAACTAAACCGATGAACTTCATCTCTCATAATGAGCAAAATATCATGTGGTTTGTTCAAAATTCAATGTTCTACAATTTCAGGTGTAATGAACTTAAATGCCATTTGGTATGAAGCTCAGTCAATGTTAATGTTGACTTGGTTGACTCTATAGGTCATAGATCGTAACTAAAACTAGAAGTTAAGTAATATAAAAATGTTATTTTGAAACTGGTAAAAAATTTTTCCCTTCTCATTTATTGATTGAAATGTAGTTTTTAAATTATGGGCGTATCATTTTTTAGACGCAGAATTGTTTTGAACGTCTACTTTCACTCCTATTTCATTAAAGAAATTTTTACTTATTTTCCTCATTGGTTAATTTTATTGTTGATAACCATCCTTCTGAAAATTTAGTAGGAATGATGTTCTCTCTATGATTGGTCAATTCCATTCTCTATTTACATGTGGATGATGGGAAAGAAAAAATATAAATTATCCAATGAAACTAAACTATTGAATGGTAGAGATTAATAAACAGTGAACGGGGAGGGGAGAAATTCCTGTTTATTTCTTTGTACTACGAAAAGGGGGTTGAAAATGATCATTATCAAATTGGTAATTCAACTAGAGGACATTGATTTTATGAAGTGTTTTCTGTCTGTTTTACACTATCAAACAATTGACATAGTTAAATTTATTGCACATAATTTATACATAAATAATATTATTTACAAAATGATTAAAAATATTTCTAATAAATGATCATGAAGCAATGACAGTGAAATGTGTCTTCTGAAATGATAAAAAATTAATTGGATAAATTTATTTTAAAAATAATTAACATATAAAAAGTAATAATGAACAATTATTCAATGAATCAATTGTCAACAGAAGATAATACTGAGAATAATAATAATAATAATAATCTGAGAAATACACGATCCAATAAATTGTAAGTTGTGAAATGTAAATTTTTACAAATATATATCTGTCTATATATTTTTTGAAATAAGTTAAAGGAGAGTCTGAAACCTGAGCAAAGGAGAAGGCTTAAGTATGAAGTTCGCAAGTTTATCCTGTAAAGAAACCTTTTTTGAAAACGAAATATTAATCAGAAAAATCATTATGGATAGTGATGATTTGATAATTGAGATGCATGTTTTTAAAGATCATCAGTTTGTTTATGTTGAGCGTCAGACACAAATCGGTAATACAAGCCATAGTCACATATTCACTAAAAAAATGTTTTTTTTACAGTAAATATATGATTTTTCCGAATCAAACAAATTCAGAATTGTATTTTAATAAGAATTAAACTCTTATAAATTATCCTCTAACAGATTGTGATTTTGTTCATATCAATGAAATTATTAATGGTGGATATGGTTGAATCTGAATATTAGGAATGGTGTTTCTGTTTCTTTGCATAATATTAAAATGACGAATAGACAAATTTTTTATTAAAGGGTTGTGGAAATTGTTGAGTTGCATTGAAATCATGAATTGATCAACGTTAGACCACTATAGGAGAAACCTGAAAGCGCAAGACGGCCGTTAGATGAATGCCGACTCAGTGGTTTTGAGTTTAAGCGTTCGCTCACGAGACCGAAGGCCTTGAGTTCGATTTCTGCGAGCTGGGGTTGTGGACGCGCACTGGTGACGAGTGACATACTGCGAAGAAACGACCGTTCAATCCTTCTTGGTTTCTGAAGATGTTGAATCGTTGATCGATCATGATTTTGTGTAATAAACAAATACCAGTTCTCATTATTATTATTATATTAAAATAATTATTTAAACATTGGAAATTATGCGCTTTCAACCTGTTTTATAACCATCAGTCAAAGTTTACAGGTCAACATGGAGTAACAGTATACATCAACAAAGAAGTTGTATACAAATTGAACTAGTGAAACACGCTTATCGGTTCAATTGCTGACTAGTTAATTATGATTATCATTTTCTGATGTACTCCGTTATTTGTTTATAGTGTTCATTACAGAATAATCTCACTTGAAATAGCAATCAAAACTTATCAGGTATGGGTATTTTTTATGTCTCAGTATGGTATTCTATCGGTGGTATGCAGTCATCACTATTTCAAAAGTCAACACTACAACCACTAAGTATCATGACAAGCACTGAACTGTTAAAATTCCAGTCTATAATACAATTCTACCCATTTCCAACTCCAATTAATTGCGAATACAGAGCAACGATTACCAAATCCTAATATTAATAACTATTTGACTTCAAATATGCCTGCAGTGCACTGTTTCAGAGTTATTACTTGAAGTTAGGTTCTTTAGTGACATATATCATCTAAAAATTAAATCAATCCTCATAAAACTCTATTTCGTTCATGTATCCATTTAGTTAATTATGCACAATTGTCTTGTGAAAGGATTATGAATTTTGACCTTTGATGAGTTGATATTTAAAAAAAATAAAGTATATTTTCTTGATGATTGCTAGACAAAGAATATCAGCATTAGTATACAGCAACATTTATCTAGAGAATGATGCATAAAATATAAGATACGTCCTGTTTCTCCTCGTTTAACCGCAATCCAAACAAAATAGCAATCATGTTTTAAATTACCTCGTTAGTTTTGATTAATTTAATACGAATTCAACAATTTCGAGAAAGAGACTTAAGTTCTGGTATACAGGAGTCGGGGATGCGCACTGCTGATGAGTCCCACACCAGGACGAAACGCCCATCCAGTGCTTCCAGGTTTCTACTAGTGGTCTAACTTGGATAGATTCATGATTTCAAATAGAGATAAAAGTTAACTCCACATCATTATGTGCATATTTATGAAGTTCACCTTATTATTGATTAAAATTCATTCTGAGCTTAGACAAAGTTGATAATGTGTCTAAATATTAACTGATACATTCAAATCATTTGATGTTTCATTTTATAAAATGCCTTCATCAGTCAAATTCTAATTTCACTTTAACTCGAAATCTACAGGTTTAACCAATAATTTAAAAAATAAAATTTACTAATTTGAGATGGCAATAAGAGAGTTGCATTGATCAGTGCATAAGTGTATTGTCTATTCTGCCATTTAGTTCATTAGTTCAAGAATTCTAAAAATAAAAAACAAATCAGTTTGTAAGTACGGCATTCCGTTTTGATTTTTTGATGTCTTAGCTATCGAGGAGAAAGAGAGAAAGTTGAAGAACGACACCTACGATTTCAGCCGTTTCATCATTCATTAGAAACCAATTTTATTCTGTATAGCTAAAAGCGCTTCAATTTTGATGACGTTCAATTTAAATGAAACAAACCACAAAATCATTCAAACAATTAGTTTCAACAACATAATGAAAACTATGTGTTAGTTTTAAATATCACCAATCTTAAATTGTTGACTTATTTATTCTGTTTATCAATAAAATAGACTGAGAATAATTTGATCAAGAAAAAAGTAAAAGCAATTGAAATTTTAAACATACAGTCTTATACATATCATTGAAAATTTAAAAAAATATATATATAAGCTTCATCTTTACAAGAAGAGATTTATTTTGCTTTACCTACAATTATCTTCTGAAATAAAATAAAGATTTTATGCCATGAAGTAGACAACGACAACAAGAAGACGTGACCAATGGAGTTCAACCCTGTCGGATTTAGGCAGTAACTACCAAAGAAAATTGGGTGAGGTCGCACAAAATCCGTAGATCAATCAGAGTTAGATATTAACACCGTTGGATGCCGGCCCAGTGGTCCGATGCTTAGGCGTTCGCTCATAATACCGAGGGTCCCGAGTTCGAATCCTGCGAGGTGCAGGAGTCGTGGATGCGCACTGCTGATGAGTGCTATACCAGCATAAAACGGCCGTCTTTCAGTGCTTCCAGGTTTCTAATGGTGGTCTAACAATGATTGATTGATGATTTGAAAATGTGTAAAAACACAAATGTCCAAAACTCTAACTGAAGACAACAAGTGTTTTTTTGCAATTTTAATGATTTTTCAAATTAACTTTTAAAAACTAAAAAAAATTACAATGTTTATTTTGGCACAAAAATATTCATAGATGTAAACAAAATAAAAATTTACCACTTGAAATATAATTAATTTCAAGTTATTATTATTTTAATTTTTAACACTATAAACTGAATTGATTAGAAGTGTATATAACTTTCTACATTTCTCATTAACAATACTACTCACTAAAACAAAAGGTAACCTATGTATGCATTAAGAGCTTTAATTTGATTTTTCAAAAAAACGTCAACAACTTAACTATTTTAAACCTGATGTTTATTTGCAAAAAAAAGTTGAAAAAAACAACCATTTTCATTGTACATTAAATGTCCCCACTCATGAATTTACCTACCTGAAATGAAAACAAAAAGCAACTTACAAATGTTATTATTGTGGCTTTTTTATTTTAGAAAAAAATAATATAAATAACATTGAACTTTTAACATAGGACCATTTTCTTTTTCCTTGCCCTTCTTATTTATTTTGTTGTTGTTGTTGAATGGTTTTTTTTCCATTGCCAGTTGTTCAACGTGTGTTCCTTTTTCTTCATTTCCTGTTGTGTTATGTGATTTGTGATTAGAATTGACAATGAAACAAATTTCCTGTCAATTAACTTTTGAATGAATAATCATCAGTCATTTAAGTATAATGTGGCGTGTGCAAATACACATTAGAATTATCATTATTATTTTTTTCTTAGCTAAATTATTTCATTACAGTAATGTTCAATGTTCAATGTTCAGTTTTTGTTTTAAACCACAACTCACAATGGATTAGTTTGAATTAACTATGTGAAAGATTTGAAAATAAAATTAAAGATAATACGTTTCGGTAGTTATGAACTACTGAATTGTGCATGATTTTCTTACACAATTAACGGTTTATATATATAAAAATGAGAATTTAAAATCGATAACGTTCAAGGTTCCCACTCATTTCATGCATCCATGTTGTTTATCTTCAAAGTTGGTGTTTGCATAACTAGAAGTTCCTAATTTCAGAATGAATTTTAGCAATCACTTATTATGAAGAAGATGGTTATTGATCAATAAACTGTTTAATAGAACTGATAAATTCCAAATAAAATAATTATCTCTAAATAAAGCCGCGTAATTTAATTAATTTCTGCCTAATGATTGAAGATTATAGACCTAAGTAAATGAGTCAATCATTCTGAAGGAAATCATAAGTGAAGATACTTTTCTTACTGCTTAGATGATCTCAATGCTTTTATTGAAATTTTGACTCTTGGAATGACAATAAAATACTATTACTAGTAATCAGTTTGTGATTAAAATTGAGTTCACAAGTTATTGAATGCTGCATGATTTATTGAAATCAAAACTGCAGACCGACTGAAATACATTGAATTGTTAAGAATAGATTAAATCATAAAAATTTCTATGATTATAAAAAAAATTAGAGAGGATATGATGTTATCGAATGAGAATGTTTATTGATGATAGATCATCAGCCTAAAAGGTTAAAAGTTCACTGGTTAAACTCAATGTTCCGAATTTAATCCCCGTCGTGTTGTAGGATGCGCATAATTGCTTTGTACGTTTTGATATAACTCAAAGCATTGCAAAAATAAAATCCGCGATTTGATTTAGAACGTCTCTGTCGAAATTGTGTATAAATAAATAATTCAGAAAACAATCAAAATCCAAAAATCACTGAACACCTGTATCGACAGACTTTGGAATTACTACCCAGTAGTGCTCACTCACAACCTCAGTGTGTCGCAGGTAACCAAGTCACAACCAAACTTGAAATCTGTGATTTCATTTAGTTGAGAAATTTTCAGATACAATGAAACAGTTTAACTGTATCTTCTGGTAACCAGTGAAATTATTTTGTGACAAATAACACTTTCAAATTTCTATTTGATATAATTAAAATAAAACAATTACTATCTAACATATTTAAGAAGACTAAACATTTAATAATATTTCTTCTAATTTCTTACATTCAGTTCATTGGATAACTTATCTTCAATGTTCAAACATTCAGAATTACCGAAACAAAACTTTGCTGATCATAAAATTAATATAACCAATCAAATGTATAGTGTTCCTTTATCCCACCATAATACTATAAATACAAATAGTTCCCGAATCCCAATGGAAATCGATCAGCAAAATAATCAGAATGCACCGAAACTGGAAGATATTTTATCTGGCATCTCATTGTCTACATGTTTGGAATCAATTAAAATTGTTGAAAAAGGAAGCAATGAGATAAAATCTCCAACAATAGAAAATACGATGTCGAAAGATGATGAAAATTCAGTTGTCAATTCTAAGGTAATTATTTGAGATGATAATTACTTCTGTATTTTGTAACTGGAATGACTTATAGTTTTAATCAATGTTCAATTTACTATTCATTTAATGCAATCTAGTTAACTGAATGTATAAGTAATATAACAATAAAAAAAAATTATATGGTCTGTGAGTTCCGATCTGCTAACTATATAATTAAAGTCTCAGCCTATTCTATCAGGGCCTCACTAAATGTCCAATTCTTCTTGCTAGAACGATAACATATCAATCTGTAAGAATGCAAAGAATCTATTGATTGAAATATCAACAACCAATTCGTAGATTGCTTTACAAATTACTGTTTTTTTTATTTACTTAAAATTACAATGAAATTTAATTCACTTGAACCGTCGCTAGAAGTTATCAGTAATGCAAAAACTCAATATTTAAGTTCAAATTTCTTACCGATCAATATTATTCATGGCTGAATAAAAATCAGTATGATTCAAAGCAAGAATTATGTGAAAATATATAAGTAATAATTTGACACTAAAACTGGATATGATGTTTTATCGCTATCAATCTTATCAACAATCATGGAAAGAATTTAACAATTTGAATTTTACAATTAATGGCAATAAAATGATTTGCTTGATAATGTTACACTGAAATAGTGAAGGGATCAATGTTAGATCACCACTACAAATCTGGAGGTACTGGACGGCTGTTTCATCCTAGCATGAATCTCGCCAGCAGTGCGCATCCACGAACCTCGCTCGTGAATCCCCGAGTTCTAGACCACTGAACCGGCATTTAACGGTGTTATTGTCTAGCGTGAATCAATTCACGATATTGCGCTACCTTAGCTATTGTCTTCAGTGGGTAATTTCTTCACATCCGACCATGGGTAAACTCAACAATTTCCAGAACCTGATAATAAACATTAATGATACAAGGTTATCAATGTCTTCTAAGCACATATTCGAATCATATCATATCAACCTTTAAATTGCTTGTTTAACTGAATAAAAGTAAATAGTTTATTTTTTTAAACCACTTAATCATCATAAACTATATCACATAGGAAACAATCAAATTTAAATAATTCCTGTAAGATTTCTTCACGAAATAGAGATCGATGAAATAATTTGTTAGTATTCGATTTTCTATCGCTTACATAACGCTGTGATGAAGGATAAATCTGATAAAAGCGCTTATAACAGATATTGTAAACATTGATGAAATCTACTTTGTTAACATTTCAGAACAGGATATCAAATAATAAACCAGATTAAAGCTTGTTGAATATCCGAACGCATGTAGAACCAATTCTAGCAAGTTCACATTAGGCAAGTCAGTCAATGTTTTTCTTTCTATTGAAAATCAACCTAAAATTTAAAGAAAAATTTCTGTAAAACTATGCAATTTAATTTCAAAATGTTTTTATTGTACAATTTTATACTTTCATCAAATAGATGTCATTATTTGAATTTCTTATTTCATAGTTACATTCAATATTTCATGGTAAATCATGGGCTCAGTCATTATTCAAGGAAAGTGTCAATTTTTATGATGAATATAAAGAGAATCCAGAAAGAATACTTGATGATCATTTCAAAAGGATATGGAAGACACGTGAAGCATGTATGCTATTAGAAGATCAAATTGATATGTATAGTGCTTTTCAAAAACATTCAAAAAAATGCAGTAAAACTCGTAGAAAACGTGATGCAATTAAAACTATTCCTAGTGAAAATGACAATAATATTGATGCTAATTTAAAAAGTAAGTGTAAAAACAATTAAGGAAGATCCTTTTACAGACTAGAATCAATAGTACATACTTGATAAATTGACAGTTTTATTTTTTAAAAACTAACTTATTGATAAATACTCAACGGCGGTGTAGATAGAAATCCTCTTTGGTACACAAATCTACTCTATACGATAACAGTATATCTTTCTGAGCTGAAAACATCTCAATTATGTAAATTGAAAAGTGATTTACTGTAAATTAAAAGATAGATACCAAAAATGATTACATTTCTCAATCAACAAACTGATTCCAAACATTAGTGTTTTGAAATTTATATCATGTAACAATGAATTCAGATTGAGTAACTTAACAAGATCTGAAAACGTTATCTAAACGGATACGCTCAAACTTTCAATTGCATGGAAGCAACGCTGAGAAGTTTTCTATGATCAATCAGTAATTATTTAGTGACTTGTTATTTGCTTGGTTAATTTCACTCAAATCAAATGAATAATAAAACTATTAAATGATTTTGTTTTTTCGATGTTCACTATTTTTTGATTAACTGCGTTAACTATGCAGTTGATGAGAACTCTAAGGGAGGAAACTAAGAGACACATATTAAACCTTTGTTGTATTACTTAAACAAGACAAATAATTAGACACTTAACTGAATGATATATTGTATTGCATAGTGCATTGGTAAAAGGATCATTTACAGAGTATTTTAACATTCATAAAATAATTTTGATCAAGAATAAACTAAACACATTGTACATTGTTATTTACGACGTTATTTTACTCAGTTGTTGGTAAATAAATAAGTCTATTGATTATTTATTCATGCACAGTCATATTTTCTTCTTTGCATAGACATTAGTTTTATTTTGTTGTAATCGGTAACAAGTATCAGTTATTTCTCACACACAATAAATAGCTGTACGAATATCAGTGTCATCGTCTTTTCGAGACATATCACTCTCATGCTAGTTGTAAGTGATAAGATTAAAAACAAACGAACTGGCACTAGCAATTTAGTATTTATTAAAATTATATATGGAACTGACTTATGCCTGCTACTTCCAATGGAGCTTAGGGCACAAACCAGAATTTTCCAACCGATTTTGTTCTGGGCTTCCATTTTCAGTTCTACCTAACTGTTATTCATAATCTTCATGTCCATTTTTGATTCTCGACGCTGTGTGTTCCTCCATCTACCTCTTTTCCATTGGCCCTAAGTGTTCCAAGTTAGGCCTTGCCTCATGATACAGTTAGGTGATTTCCGCAGTGTGTATCCTATCTACCTCCAGCCCTTATTCTTAATTCCTTCATCACCTGAAATCTGGTTTATTTTCTCCGACTGTAGGTTGTTGATAGTGGAGTCTTGCGTAAACGACTGTTATCATACACCCGTAACTTTGGGATTGAGCTTTTGGTAGTTCCCCAAGTTTCCGATCAATACGTTAGACCGGTTTTGATGTTTGTATTGTAAATTAGGACTTTTATGTTGGTTGATAGTTGTTTTGATTTTCAGATATTCTTCTATTATAGAAATTTTGCCGTCGGTTTGCTAATCCGTGTGTTTACATCTGAACCAGTTCCACCCTGTTTGTCAATGATGCCTCCCAGAAATGTAAAGGTTTTTACATCCTCCAAAGCTTCTCCATCAAATGCAATTTGGTTGATGTATGTTGTGTTTTATTGGAGGATCTCGCACTTTTCTATATGTAGATTGAGATCTACTGCTGCTGAGGCTACATTAGTCGTCTTTATCTGAATTCGCAATTGTGTTTGGGATGGTAGAGCTAGATTCCCCATGAAGTACGAATCTTCCAGCTTCATCCAAGCTGTCTACTGTATGTCATGTCTCCCCTGAGATATTGACGTCCTCAGAACCTAGTCAACCACCGAAAGAAAGAGAAAAGTTGAAAATAAGTAATCTTGTCCTATACCGGTTTTCATTTGTAGTGCACACATTTTTTTCTTTCGTATAAAATTATTAACTTTGTTAACACAATGTACATTATTTTTGAGTTAGTTATTGTTTACGATATTTTATTACTGCTTTCCTTTCTTTATATTAAAAAAATCTCTAGGTTCAAATGGAAATAATGAAATGTCTGATTTAGATTATGATAATCTTCAATATATCAATAATACTAACAATAACAATGAAGATAATGTTTATAAATCGAATTGTAACGTAAAATTAACCAAACAATATTTTAGCTCATCAAAACAATTTCCAAATGCTACTTCTCATTATTCACCTAATCATACTGGTTCACAACAAAACTATTATATTTGTAATCATTGTAACATGTATTACTTTGCACAAAACAATTATCTCGATAACATGACCGATAGAATTGATAAAGAATATATTCCAGTACATTCTGATGAAATCACAACGGATTATGAAGCGTTCAATACATTGATAGATGCAGGAACAAAAGAAACTAGGAATAAAAGAATCATTCATCAGAGGTAAAACTAATGGGTTTACTTCAAGAATTTTTTTATGGATGATTGATTAAATTACAAAATTAGTATTTATTTCTTATTTCATGTTTCATTACGTTAAGTACATGCTAAATTGTATTTTGTAATACTATACTAATTGTTTAAGCCGTTTTTCAAGATCATTTCTGGATTATTCAAATGTGTACTAGTTCAAAAGTGAATAAATATTTGTCGATATCACAACGTAGCTTAAGAATACTCATTCATTGCTATACTAATGATCAAAGCAATCAACTATCGGAGTCGACAGTAAAGTAAACTTGAAATAACTTAGTTTGTTCGTGATAAATGATATTTGAAAACATTTAGTCTATATATAACATGAGAATATATCCATGTTACACACATATAACACACCTTATAAACTAACATAAGGAATCATAAATTATCACTTAGGAAAATGAAGTTGTTTTCTTAAAGATTTAATTGAAAAAAATAACAAAATGGTATAACTATTCAAAAATATACTCTGAAACTGAGATAGTGGAGACAATTTGTAGTTCAGGTGGATGATTGTGGTGGAGTTCTATTCTCTGAGCTGGATTTTTTGGTTGTGGAGCTTTCATTTTTCATCTGAACAACATCATCAGTACAAACTTCAGATAACTTAAGCGAGATTTATTTATAATCACATTTATACGGTTCAAAGTTTATGAGTATTTTAGATGATATTTCCCTATTATTACTATAATAAATATTACTGTACATATTCTGAAACTAATAATTACGGAATTCATGTCATTTTAATGGTATAATCAACTTGATATTATCTAATATATGTGAGTAATACTATTTGTTACTCAGAATTAAAGTAACAAATAGAAAACATAGACTTACTGTAGAAGAGTGTTCGTCTTTCCAATGTGTGAGTTATGAATCTGTATGTTTAGTTCACTTGCCGACCAAGAATAGGGAGGTACGAGAAATTTATTTGGTCCTAGTTTGGAACTCCCTCTTCATTACAATGATAAACTTAAGCATCAGATCTACATTTAAGCTATTGGTTGTAACATATGAAGCGTATATAAAGTATTCCTGCAGTGCTGCTTGGTCATCAGTGGTTTTAAAGCTTAAAATAAATTGATCATCATACAGTTGTTTCTCTTTTTTGTACAATGTATGTCTATTAAAATCTAGAATCGACAAATCAATCTATCATTATGAATTGATGTGTTTGTTTAAAGTAAAGTTAAATTAACTCAAGTTTTCAGCAATATATATTTATATATATATACATATATATACATACATATATATATATATATATACATGATAGAAAATCTTGGAAAGTCTTTTGAACATATCTTTTATTAACAATAATATCAATATTATATTCTAACTGATTAATACTTAATTGATGAGTTGGATTCTTCGCAGATGCGCTTCTGTATGTCAGTATTGGCAAGGGTTTGAATTCTTCTATTACTGATGTTCAGAAATGAATTTCGATATAACTTTGTTGGCATTTGTTCATCCTGTTTCGAATGATTCGATTTAGTCAGTATTTAACTTTATATGAAATAAATGAGTCAGGACCAGCAATGAAATTTAGGATATACGCTTCATTTTATTTCAGATTCATCAGCTACTACATCTTAGCTATGATGCTCATACTAAGACTTGAGCCCAGTAGACTTTACTTCAGATGCCCAACAAGTATAAAGTAGCAAAAATTGGATTCCACTGTAAACACGATGGATCCATTCTAAATAACCTATTTCAATAGAGTTTTCAATTGCACTCTAACAATTCTTTGATAAAAATTTATCTAACTTCAGACGTTTGAAAATTAAGACAAATCTAGAAAAATTTCGTTTTTCACTTTATGTGAACTGATTAATTTAAGTTAATCTTTACATTATATTTCGATTATCTATTTAAACAAAAATCACGGAATAAATGTCTCATAAATTCAATAATAATCACAATGTTTAAATATTCATTGACACCCCAAGATTCCATAAATAGTATTCTAGTTTCCATTCACTCATTAAAAATTTATTCAATTAAATGTATTAACATTCAGTAAACTAAATACTTCTTCAAGCGTATCGTTAAAATACAAACTGACCAAATGTTCACTCCAGACTATGACAATATCATCATGGTATTGAAATGGATATGGTCCATTGGTCACTTTTTCTTCCTTTTCTTCTACACTACCTCTGTTTTTCTTCTCCACTTTTTTTAAAATATTCAATTACGTACAATAGAAATCTGTTTGTTGTAATGCTTTTTTTGTTTGTTTTTTTTACAAAAATAAATTTTCTAAAAATCAAATAATTGCCAAATTCTTATTGTTTTAAATTCTATTGACTAGTTTAATTCAATTTCTTCAGATAAGAATATGTATAGTACACATACATGATTGCTTGACTGACTAAGATTTGATGAAGAAATAAGATTTTTTTTGAAAATTAAATTATAAGATGAAAAAAAGAAAGAAACAAATAATACCAAGTTGTTTTTATCAACTGACTACAATTATTAATGTTTTCCATGATATGTCATTCAATTTATTGGTTTTTTTAGGAAAAATAAAAATTAACTTTATACCTTATGTATCTCATCTATACAATCTATCCAACTAATAGATTTTTTTTTCATACAGAAAAATCTCATGAGATTTAATAACGAATGATACAAAATAAACTAATTAAATATTTAACATTGGACAATGAAGCTGATAAACTGAATTTTCTTGTTACCTTGTGGAATTTTTAAAATAATATTAACTTGGTTAATTATTATTTAGCAGGAATGGCAATTTATTTATTTATGTAGATAAATATTATACAGTATATTGTGAGATGGTGGGGACAGTTTGTAGCTCAGGGGGATGGTTGTGGTGCTGTTTCGTTCTCTGAGCTGGGTGTTTTTGTTGTGGAACTTTAATTGTTCTTCTGAACAATATCATCAGCACAAACTTTGAATAGAAGAAGTGAAGTATTCGACTTTCTCCACGTTTGACCTGTATATCTTGTTCTGTTAACCTCAATCTTGATTGGTTGCTGTTGACCTTAAACCTGTTGTTGTTTGCACCTTTGTTTTGATTGTATCCCCCTTTTGATCTGTTTCTTGATCCTATGTCAACAGCAACCAATCAAGATTGAGGTTAACAGAACAAGCTATACAGGTCAAACGTAGAGAAATTCGAATACTTCACTTCTTCTATTCGAAGTTTGTGCTGATGATATTGTTCAGAAGAACAATTAAAGTTCCACAACAAAAACACCCAGCTTAGAGAACGAAACAGCACCACAGTATATTGTATTCTTTTTGAATATCTTAAATATACTTTTCACACTTAGATGTTGAAATGATTTCCTTCACTATGTGTCACTTTAATATGTGTAACATAACAGCAATGATCCAGATATATATGACATCCATTTTTTGCAGGTTTCAAAGGTTCAATATTATTTTAAAACTCTAATTCTGAGAACTAGTTTTTTCTTTTCTAACTAAATACATTGACAATTTTATTACTATCACTAAGATTACTGTCGATACTGGTATTATTCAAACTTCTTTGTTATTTAACTTGTTATTTTTTTATCATTCCATCGTGATTTGATTTTGATTTGTATTTGACTGGATACATGAAAATGATCAAAAGAGTAGTTTGAAATAACGATAATATGAAGTACAATGTCAAGCATTGAAGTTTGTACACTTTAAAAAGATTGAACTAATGAATTTATTTTAGTTGATATAATGTCCAATAGTTCATAAATAAATAAAAAAATACTGATATAATGCTGAGATAAACATCCCCATAAATTAGGTGTGAATGGTTAATAGTGAACTATAAAAATAAAGTAGAAGAAAGTGAAAATTCGAAAGCCTTTAGTTGTATATATATATATATATATATATATATATATATATATATATATATATATATATATATATATATATATAATATTATGTTGCTTGAAATGTTCGTGATATGCTTGAAACTATTACGAGTTCACCTTACTCGGTAAACGGAACGAAGCTCAACGATAAGGTGACAAGATAGGCTATTCTTATTCGTTTGTCCCAGGCCCTGCTAACTAGATCAAGAAGTCTTGATAAGGAATAGAGAATGTATACTACAAGCACCCAGAAAATACGAGGTGTCTAAGTACATAAATCAAGCTTATTTATACAATGATAGAAAGGCCCTTGGTGAGAGCCAAAAAAATAGCGTGAAAAAATAATCCGTCAACCAATGACAGTCAAGGCTTTTCCGAGAAGGAAATCTAAGCAGGAGGTCAGCTAAGCGTCTCTGGCAAGAAAACATGCATATTCAAAGTTTCGGAATAAAATTACAAAATTAGGACCTCTTCCAAGTAAGTTCTGGGCATCTAACATCCCCAACAGTTTGATACACTGTATTTACAACTAGTTGTACAGCTTGATTATGATCAAATTATTTTCAGCACAACGAAATTATAAACTTAAAATGTTTGAGCTCATTTGATAAGATATCATTTATAAGTTCCATTTTAGACTTAATATGAAATTTCAAAAATGTTTGGATTTATTTAATCAGAAATTCTAAATACAACCAATCACTTTGACAATTAATGTTACAGGATTCATGAATTAAAAAAAATCTATCTTACATCAGTCATAGAATTCTATTCGATTTCATTTGTTTCACTGAAATGTAAACTATTTTGAAACAGCTGCTTGTGGTTTATTATCTATTAATATCGCTTCAACTAAATAAATATTAATGATAGAAGTTATTCTTAACATTGTAAACATTAACTAATATGATTTCATTCATTTACTTCCCTCATATATTTGAATGACAACATTCCTGGTTTAAAAATATGTGAAGAATACTAATAGGTAAATATCTTCATTTATTGTTTGATATTGGGTGTAGACTGTTAACTACTAACTAGTGTTTTTCATTTGTATGACAGATTTCATAGACTAATAAATCATTTTTTAGAATAATTTATATAGGTGTCATTTCTTCAATACAAGTTTATATTTCTGTGTATTAGTGACAGTTAGACTTTAAACAAACATTTGATTGACTTAACCTTGTGTTACCTTGACAGATAAAAATAAACAAATATTTACTTTTCTACCCATGTTCACACAATTCAAGAACTGTTATTCTAACTGAATAATAAGTAGTTGAATTAAATCATCTTAAGATTTTATATGGAACTATGTAGACAGATTGAATTAGGAGTGAAAATTTTTTTAATTTAGCAAGGAAAATTAAGCAAACAGCTAGTATTTTTAACGCCAGCATGAATGTAGTTAGATAGATGAATGAATTGTCATTTGCCAGTTCTAAATAAAAATGTATCTTCCTCTATAAGAGAGGGATTTTTCATATTTGGATATTAATTAAGGTATCTAGGTGGTAAGATAAACCACAAATACTTAAATGTGTGCATAAACTATAAGGTACAATATTCAATAATGGCGTCACCAATTAAAAATATATAAAATAATGGTAAGTGACCAAGCCGGATGTCCTCCTTATTGAAGATAGCAGAAAAATGGAAAAAAAATCTGAATCATGATAGGCTTGGTAATTATTGATAGTGATCTCAGATGAATATGAACAGGTAAGACGATACATTTTACGACTCCATATGCTTGTAAATAGTGGATAGGGAGAACTTATTTAGAATTCCAGCACTCCAAAGTTGTATTCCATTCCAAAAGTAAAGAATTAAGTTCCTGAATTACGTGGCTACTAGTGATGGGATCCCGGAACACCAAAAGACACATATAAACCACAGTCCTAAATATCAATGGAAAGATTCAAACAACCATTATGAGTGAATTAAAAGCCTACTATTATGAATTGACATCAACTTTCGTGTATTTATACAACTATATATGGAGTCTATTAAAATCAGGTTAGACTACCGCATGGGCACACTGGTCCATATATGTTTCGATTATCTAACGAAGTAGTGCATTCCATCTTATACTGAATAAACTTTAACCCCATTTTTCTGTTTGTCTCGGCTACTTTGGGAACTTATAAATTTTTCACAAATCCAATGATAAAATTTTATTTTTAAAAGTGAATCAATTTTTGTTTTCATTTACTAGTAGGAGCCCCTCATATTATAGCTGTTCAAATGAATCTGAAGAATACAATAATAATAAACAGCATAATTATTTCATTCAAACTTCACTATCATTACCGGATGTTACTAATGATAAACAAAACTTTCCATTGAGTGACTTTACAATTAGTATAATTTATGTATCAGAAGATCCATTGCCACATGTAATTTTGTGTGAAAATATTCGCTGGACATTGAAACTTTTTAAAAGCAAAGTTATTCAACAGGTGTTTGCCAATAGGAGAAAAATTCAAACTGAACTGTACAATCAATTCCAGAGTTTGAGAAAACGGTACGCAATAACATTTTTTTCTAAACTACATCGTTTATATGAGATTTTATTTATGGATATAAGTATTTATTTAGACATTTAAATAACAATTTAGAATAGAAATAATATTGTTGAAAGCAAAATAATGTTATTCACTGTTCTGAATTCGAATAGACAGACAGATACAACACAGAACTTCGTGCGTAAGTACATTAGTTCAGGTTGCCATACCACATCAGCACAGAGACATAGCCATCAGTTTAAATCCAAAAGTGACAGTGATAATAGAAGTATTAGCATTAATGGAGAAGATTAGGGAGCGAAGATATGATTCGAGAAGTATAATTCAGTAAGATAAATTTAGAAGGAGAAAGGTTGAGGTGATGAGTAATTCAGAAGTTTAGAATTTCAGAGAACACAAAGAGTGGATGCACCTGCGCCATTGCAAACGATTTTGAGCCATGTCGTTCAAGGTCTCTAACCATTGGTGACTTTCGTCTCGCGGACCCCAACCAGATAGTCGACACCTACCAACATGACTCAGTCCACTAGTCAGTGACTCCATGCATTTCTGCCATGTTTTGGTTTGGCCGCCCCTAGCTTTGTTCCAATCTACTCCTACACTGAAAAACATAGCTCGTCGAGACAGTCCGTGGTTAGCCATACGTAACACATGTCCCAACCACCTCAACTGATGAAGTTTCACTACTTCATCTATCAATTTGACATCCCTACCTAGAACTCGTTTCCTAACGACATCTGGATTCGAATATATAAATAATCAGCCATAAAAACTATTACTTACATGTATATTGCTTGATTATTGATACGAACTACTTACTAGATGATAAACAGTTCTGTTACAATATCATTAGTACTGATTTCTGTCATAATAAGATTTTAGCTTAAGAAATAACAAATCATATAAAATTTTAAAATTCAACGTCTTTAGAAAGAATCAAACAGTATTTGATCAATCAAATGATTAACATGCGCTATAGAAAAAATCAAACAAAAGCTACTGGATTTCTTATGATGTACTGTTCATTCAGAATTCAATGATCCACTAATTAATGTTCAATCAATTTGTCAATACAGTGCCACTTTTTCAGAGTCTCATCCGTGAATTTAAAATCTTACTTCCTAATTAATTTACTTAATCAGTCTTAGTAACATATTGTTGAAAAGTAGATCTTTTTACAACATACTCTTTTCGTTACAATTATCAGTCAGATCAACAGATTTCAACAGTTTCATAAAAGATTAACATTACATGTTATTTTAGGATTCTGGTGATTTTAATCAGTCTAATTAAATTCTTGTTTCTACTATTCTTACGACCAGTTTGATACAAATTACCATTCTTAAATCCAAGGGACTTCAAGTTACAATTTAATTAACGCTTACAAGAAATACGGTTTATCAGTGTTTAGTGTTTTATACGCAAAAGTCTATTCCGTAAACAAGGACCAGTGTATCAGTAATCGCCATTATAAAGACAATTAGATTAGACAGTACATTTTTTTACATAGTTTTAATTACAGTTATTTCTATTTAATGTTTACATTGTTATTATTTACTTGTTTATTCATTTATTATTGTTATTTTAGATTCTATTTCAAAACTGAATCCAATGAATTAAATAGCGATATGATTTATTATGAGATTATTGATGATACAGAAGAGATCCCACGTTGGAGAGGTTTAATATGGGCTAAAATTGAAATAGATCATAACTGTTAATTATTACAGCGAGGTTATTTTTCCCATTGTAAACATTGATTTTAATTCTTGTTCAATCATATGTACATACAATATAGATAATAAAAATATACATATATATTTCTATGAATTGCTTGTAAGTTATGTTACTCTTATCTAGCCTCATGTACAACAACAAGGGTAGTTTTATACTAAAATAGATAGATAACTTTTAGACCATCTGCTGAAATATCTGGGCTACCTGTGTTCCTAATAATAAAATATTTCAACAAGTTACTTATTTTTCTTTGTTTTAACATGTCAATCATGTCTTTTAAACGCATAGTCTATTCAGGCGCGTAATTAAAAAGTTTATAACCTATTGCATCACATGGTACAGGAAAGTACTATCCGAGACATTTTGATGACTGGCAATATGCGTTGAAAAGGAAAATTGTTGAAATATTTTATGCTGAGAATTCCATATTGTACTAAACACATAATATTGAATAGAGCCATTAATATGATCATGATGATCATTATTATTACTATCATCAATTACACTGTCCAAGTTTTTTCCGAAATTTGAAAATCTGTCACGATTTCTTTGAGTTTTAGTCGGATTATCACGTTCAATTTGTTTTTTTTTTTAAGCTGTCGACTATACCTAATGCGTCTTTTAGTGCACCTACTTTATTACATATTCAAGTGGTTTATATGAAACATTTTCAGTAGAAGTCCTGGAGAATCAAACTTTAATAATATTGGATAACTCTGACTACGATTTTAAGTTAAAAAAGTCCCATTTAGTGCTTTGATTGTAGAATACAAGTTTATCAACCAGGAACGATGAAAGATCTTGATTCCTATAAATAACTATGATTTAATATCTTATTTTAACAAGAGATCGTTTGTTTAATCATGGTTGACCTGTTGATACAACCATGATGTCCAGACACAGACTGATGGTCGTATTGCGTAAATAACCGAATAAATTGTATTTAGTATTAAATACATAACCTCTAGACTCTGGTCTCTTGTCACGAGCAAAATCATTTTTGAAGAAGTCTGTATATCGATATAAACATGCAATAACTTAATAATAAATCTATAGATCAGCTTGCTTATGCTGGCATTTATGACTAGTCAGTATACTAATAAACTAAGCACCATTTCTCAGTCTGTTAATTTAAATCATTTTGCAATCATCTTCACTTTGAACAAGAATCAGTCAGAAAATTGCTTCTCATTTCTAAACTTCTTATCATTGCGATTTCTAACTCCAACTGGAGCTGTTCTAGGGTTACAGCTAGTCCAAAGCCCAGATAAATGAGGAGCATAAGGTATGAAGTTACCGACTTCATTCCGTCGAAAGTAAATTTTCTAAAATACGCTAACCAGAAAGTTTCATTTACACCATTTATATACTGATCTGAGAGTTCAAAAGTCTTCATTTGGAAGTGTTATGAAACGTCATAATGGAAGCCAAGCTTCTTCAGAAGTCATGGGACCTATTCTCCTTTTGAAAACGAAATCAACAGTTAACATGAGTGTACTATTTGTTTGCATATTGTGGGAAACATGAAGAACCATTCAACGTGCTTAAGAAATAAAAAGATGCAACCAGGAGGAGCTTGAAATGAGTAAAACCCGTTGAACACAAGTTAGACAGAAACGAATAGCTTCGGGAGACAGCGCCCATGAAGGAGTTGTATTGATGCTATCGACACAAGCACAAAAAGCACTGATAGGATGGGGATCTTATGGACCCAGGATCATCAAAACATCGTTCAAGAGAAAGAAAGAGGGCAATACAATGAATGTCGTTCAGCGCTATGAGATCACCGACAATAACAATCAAGACAATAAACATAAATTCTGTGGGAGGCTGAAGTCAATCGTCGAGAAATGCACAGCAGAGGACTTGAGGATTCTGATAAGCGACCTAAACGTCAAGATTGGAATGGACAATACTGGATAACCACATACACAATGCGACATGGATTTCACTAGATCACACTACATACATCCAAATCTCCTATATCTCCATCAATAAAAAGTTCAGAAGGAAGATGGAGGATGTAGGAACCGCGAGAGAAGCTGAGATAGCTTCAGATGATCACTTGGTGGTAGCCAAAATAAAGCTGAAGGCAAAGGAGCACTGGAAAATGGGGCGAATAGCATCACAAAAGTTATTTACAACCTTTCTTCGTGACCCCAGCAAACTACCCGTATTCAAGCTAGCTATCAGCACTAAGTTGCAGGCCTTTCAACATACCAGGAGGTGGTCGCTCACAAGAAGTACCATTATAATGAATGGATCTTTTTTGATACCATGAACAAGATTCAGGAGAGGAAATGCAAGAGCATAGCATTCAACAACAGTCCATCAAAAACGAATAAAGTCAAGGCACATGTCAAATACACAGAAGCAAACGAGCAAATCAAGAGAAGTATAAGAGTTGGTAAGCGTAAATAAGTATTCGACAAAGCAATGACTGAGGCATAAAATCTTGAAGAGAAGGAAATATGTGACAATTGTACGGTTCAGCAAAAAGCTCTCTGAAAAATAACGTAAACCAGAAAGATCAATCCGTAACAAAGTAGATAGGGTGTCACAGATCCATAAATGGCAGAACAGATGGTTAAAGCCCTTTGAAGAACTCCTGAATAGACTAACCCCTATGAATCCATTCAATATCTAAGCATCATCTACCGACCTACAAAAATAATGTTGACAACTGAAGAAATCAGCATGACCATCAGACAAGTCAATATTTGTAGAGCAGAGGAGCCAGATAATATACCAACCAAAACATTGAAAGCAGACATAGCAGTTAATGCAAAGATGTTGCACGATCTGTTCAGCAAGATTTGGGAAGACGAACAAATACCAAAATACTGAAAAGATGGACGCCTTATCAAGATTCAAAATAAACGATATTCTAGCAAGTTTGAAAACTACAGGGACCTAACTGTTTTCTCATTACCAGGAAAAATATTCAACGAAGTGTTGCTAAACAGAATTAAAGATTCAGCAGACACCTATATTCAAGAAAATCAGGCTGCATTCCGTAAAGATCATTGACGTACCGAAGAGTTGGCAACACAGTGGATAATTGAAGCAGAACATGTTGAATGGAACTAATCATTAGACATCTACTTCCTTGATTATGAGAAAACATTTGAACGAATACAGTGGACAGTTCATGTGTAACTGGCTGTTTTGGACTTCACAGGTAACCCTGCTCTTCTATCCCAAGCATAATGACAAATGCACACTTAAACAAACTGTTTAGCAGCAGCCTCTGAAGCAGTGGTTCTCAACATATACAAGGGAAAAAATAAGATCTTCCGATACAACACAAAATGCACCAACCAAATCACACTTGACTGATAATTTTCGAAGACGTGGAAAGATCTACATAGCTGGGCAGCATCACTGATAAACAAGGTGGATTTGATGTAGATTTGAAGGCATGGATTAAAAAAGCAAGGGCAAAATTTCTACAATCGAAGAATATCTGAAACTCAAAACAACTGCCAACCAACACAAAAGTCTTAATTTTCCATACAAACGTCAAAATAGTTCCACTGAATTCAGCGGAAAATTGGAGCACCAACAAAAGCTCCATACTAAAGATATAGGTGTATGACAACATTTGTTCACTCAATACATCATCAACATTCAACTATCGGAGATAATAAACCACATTTAAAGTGAGGAAGAAATTAAGAAGAAGCTCTGAAAGTCGATTTGATACACCTAGAAGCATCACGAGGCAAGACCTCACTTAGAACCCTCAGGGCGATCGGAAAAGAGTTAGACCAAATAAAGCATTGTATCTTGGAATTGGAGGCAGATATCAAAAGAATGAATAGCATTAAGGAATAAGTGGAAAGGAGAGTTAATAATTGAATTGGTTATAGAACCCTGGTCGGTGGAGTAACACTCGTAAGTTAGTAAGAAATTCTTACATTCTACATTATATCAAACCGAGAACATTTTTGACCTCGAAATAATCATCCTGCCTAAAGATCACTCGTTTAAAAGCTTATAATTTATTTCATTTCAACTCTACATTTTCAAATACAGAATAGTTTTTTTAATAAACATACGTTTGTAAAGGCAGGTTTCTCAAGAAATCACTTCATAACTTATTTGTTAAAGATAAAAATCAATTTAGCATCAAAATGGATAAAAAGAGTGAATTAGATTAATTAGTCTTTATGTTATCTTATGTGAAATGTCTTACAAAACATCTATCATGTATAGATAGGTGTCTGACATATATATATGTATATATATATATATATATATATATATATATATATATATATATATATTCATGTGTATATGCTACTTTTAATTTTATTTTAATACATATTTGTTGTTGTTTTTTTTATGATTACCATTTTATTGATAAAATAGAACACAAAGAATTCACAAAACAAAAATAACTTTCATCTTTTCAAAAAGAAGCAGAAGCAGAAGAAGAAGGCACGTGTTCAACGAACTGTAACATCAATAACTGATGATGTTGATGTTGTTGTTGTTGTTTTTTTCTAATCGATAATGATGATGGTAATGATGACATTGATGGATAAATTCATTTATTTTGTTCATATTAATTTTTTTCTAGTCGAGGTCATATAATTTCTATTGTTCCCGTGTGATTTCATTGAACATTTCCAAGTGCCAGACATATATAACAATAAAAAAAAAAGTAAATAAATAAATAGGGTACTCATTTAATGGCGTGTAAGTGTTAATCTTGTTATTTGGCATACATGCAAAGGTGTATGTAGATATATATATATATATATATATATATATATATATATATATATATGGTTCTATTCTTCATAATAGACTCCCTCATGATGTATATAATGTAAAATCCAGTCAAGCCTGTCGATCATTGATGAATTAACTTTTATAACGTTTGCAATAGCAGCTGTATAAATGAAATAAATGTCGTGTAAGAAGAAAAAAAAGGACAGGTGTTAAAAAAAGAAAAATGAATGAATGAATATTTATT